CGCCCTCGACACGACGGAGCCGGGCGCCTGGGTCGCGCACGCGCTGCTCCTCGCCGGCGCGGCGTCGGTCTGGCTGGCGACGATGGTCGACCTGCTCGACGGCGGCCTCGGCTCGTCCAACGGCAAGCTCGTGTCCATCTTCGACTCCATCGACGGGTGCCGCTGCTTCCGGAAGCAGCGGCCCGTGAAACTCGCGAGGATGGACAACCGGCCGCCGACCGCGCGGCGGGGCAGCCTCTACCACGTCGCGGCGCAGCTCAAGAAGGGCCGCGCGGCCAACCTGCTGTCCGCGGGCTCCATCGTCGTCCTCAACCTGCTCAACAAGTTCGGCCCCGCGACCGTCGTCAGCCTCCTGACGCGGTCGACGCCCGTCATATTCCAGGGCTGGCGCCACTCGCTCACGTTTTTCGCGTCGCTCGCGGCGATCCAGCTGTCCTGGCGCGACCTCGCGTTCCGCGCGGCGACGTCGCCCTACTTCGACGCCGCGCTCGCGCTCTCGAGCGCGCTCTACAAGCTGCGGAAGGTCGTCTTCATCCATCTCTCGACGCGCGACGGCGCTCTCTGGCTCGCCTCGCTCCTCACCTGGCTCGTCGTCGACGGCGGCTCGGACCTGCGGCGGCTCACGAACTACGCGACGACGCTCCAGGACTGCTTCCACCGCGGCGACCTCGCGCTCTCCGCGCGGACGATGCGCGCCGAGTTACTCGAGGCGCGGCGCGCCGCGGGGCCCGTCGTCCTCAAGGCCGCCCTGCCGAACGTCGCGTGCGCCTACGTCCTGCGGCGCGTCCCGAACGAGACCGTCGCGCGCCTGGTCGTGCTCGCCTACCTCGGCTACCGCTACCGGGCCCTCCCGGCCCTGCGGCGCGCCGCCGACGCGTACCGCGACGCGCGGTCGCCGCTGCCCGGCGAGACGCCGCCGACGCCCGTCCGGCCGCGCGCCGACGGCACGACGAAGAAGGACCGGTAAGTAGGAGCAGGTACAGTAGGCGGCGCGCGCGCGCGCGCCCCGTCACATGGGGACGGCCTCGACGGCGACGGCCTCGCCCGCGAGGACGTAGTCGCCCTCGACGGCGACGCACTCCGCGACGGCCGCGACGGCGTCGACGGCCTGGCCGTAGCCCTCGACGCCGACGGCGCTGACGCAGGACGCCTCGACGCCGACCTCCTGCGACTCCATGCCGCCCGGGACGATCTCGACGGCGGCGACGCCCCGGCGGAGCGCCTCCTGCTCCGCCTCGAGCTCGTCGACGCGCGCCCGCTCGAGCTCCGCGGCGTCGAACTTGCTCACGTCGATGCCCTCGGCCCGGAGGAACTCAGCCATGGAGACCTTGCCGTTGTGGTCCGCGTCGAATTTCTCAAAGTCGGCGGCGACCTTGGCCTCGTCGTACTCGGGATCGAACATTTTATACACCTCTTTGAGCTCGTCGATGGAGATGGAGCCGTCGTGGTTCGCGTCGACGTAGTTGAATTTCTCCACCATGGCGCGCATGTGCTTCGGATCCTCCACGAGCTGGGACAAGCGGCGGCGCGGAGCGGCCATCAGACTTTTGCCGTGGTCTCAGCCCAGTGGAGGGCAGCGTCCAGACTTTAGCCGCAGGCGCTGTGGGTCAATGTTGCCCGGGAAACGTGTCGGTTGACAAGTCGACACAAGTCGCGATGCGAGGCTGCCCCAAGCGAAGGTACGCGATGCGCCGCCTGCTGCTGCTCGCCGCCGCGGCGTCGGCCCTCGTCGACCCGGAGGAAGTGCGGGCGACGACGAGCTGCCGCGTCGTCCGCGTGCCGGCGCCGGCGCCGAGCGGCGCGCCGAAGCTCGCCTACGACGCGGCGAGCCACGCCGTCGTCCCCCAGACCGCCGCGCCGCCGCCGACCCACGTCGACCAGGTCGTCTGCTTCCCGCGCGTGCTCGTGCTCGGCGCCGCGCGGACGGGCACGACGGCCCTCTTCGAGTTCCTCGTCAAGCACCGCGCGATCCTGCCTCCCGGCCCCAAGGAGAACAAGCGGGTCTGCGAGCTCACGGAGAAGACGGCGCGGCTCTACGAGGAGAAGGTCGGCGAGAACCTCGCGGCCACGCTCGAGCGCAAGGGCAACGCGATCCGGGAGCCGCTCATGACGCTCGAGGCGGCGACGTACAACCTCTTCTGCCCCGGCCCGCTGGGCCTGGACCACCGCGCGCAGCTCATGGCGCGGACCTTCCGGCCGCGGGCCATCGTCCTCCACCGCGAGCCCCTCGAGCGGCTCTGGAGCGAGTACAAGTACTTCGGCAGCTTCAACCCGCGCTGCGACCCGAGCCCGGCGCGGTTCGTCGACCTCGTGGGCAACCAGACGGCGGCGCTCCTCGCCTGCCGCGGCTACTGGGCCCAGTGGCTCGACGGCCAGCGCTGGGGCCGCCACGACTGCGACGCGGAGCTCGCGAACCAGCTCTCGACGTCGCCGCCGCACTACCCCTGCGGCCACCTCGCGCGCGTCGTGCCGGGCCTCAGTCACTACTTCGAGGCCCGCTGGCGCCGCGCCCTCGGCGACAAGCACGTCCACGCCGTGACGTCGACGGAGCTGCGGAGGACGCGCATGGGGCCGCGGCTCTGGAGCTTCCTGAATCTGACGTACGTCCGGAAGCCCAAGACGCCGGACCTGAACGGCCGCGTCGAACCGAAGAGCCCGCGGCCCCACCCCAAGGGCGCCGCCTTCCTCGAGGCCCTCGAGGGCGTGGGTCCGCCCGAGGCCGCGCGGGCGAGGCTCGCGGCCTTCCACGCGGACTTCGACCCCCGCGTCCTCGACGCGCTCATCTAGGAGAGCCGTAACGGAGTCTCGCCCCTCGGATATGCACCCCGACGCCGCCCGCGCGCCCTCCGGACCGGCTTACGCCCCCCCGCGCATGGTCTAAGTCACGGTCTCGCCCCTCGGATATTCACCCCGGACCGGCTTACGCCCCCCCGCGCTCAGTTCGCCGGGAGGGAGATGTTGAGGCCGAGGTCGGCGAGGTCCGGGTGGAGGCCGTGGGCCATCTTCGCGTGCTTCTCGTGTTCGAAGGCCTCCCGGACGTCGCCGTGGTGCTCGGACTTGATGGCCTTCGTGCGGAGCTGCTTGAGGGAGAAGGGGCGGTCGACGTTGTCCTCGTCGTCGGACTCGGCCGTCGGCGCGGGGGGCCAGAAGAAGGGCTGCTTCGTGCCCGGCGCCGCGGATTTCGTCATCACGGAGAATTTCGCGACGGACGCGCGGCGGCCCTTCTTCTCGCCCGGCGGCTGGCCCGGGCTCGCGTTCTTCGACGCGCGGGAGCTCGCCGCCGTCTGGAGCGACGGCAGCACGCCCGTCGCGCCCCCGCGGCTCGGCGACGGCTCGCCGTCGTCCGACGGGCTCGCGATGGACGTCATGCGGACGATGAGGTCGACGCGGTCCTCGATCTGGCTGAGAGCCTCCATGACCGTGGCGTGCGTGAAGTAGACCTCCTTCTCCTCCTTCTTCGACGTCTTGTTGGCCAGCGTCGCGGCGAGGGACGCCATGATGCCCTGGACGCCGCCGATCGTCGCCTCGTTCTCCTGGAACGCGCCCTCGAGCTCCGCGCGCCGCGCCTCGATGTCCGCGAGCGCGCGGTGCGCGTCGTCGTCGTCGTCGTCGCTCGCCGCCTCCTCGGCGGCGCCCGGGTCGCCCGCGGCGTCGCGCGGGTCCTCGGGCGCGGCGGCGTCGCCGTCGCCGGCCGCGGGCCGCGCCTTCCTCCGCCGCCGCGTCTCGCGCGACTTGACGTTGAGGTCCACGAGGATCGACTGCTCCTTGACGAGCATGGCCTCCTCGCGTAACAACGTGTTGACCATCTTGCACTCCGTGTAGTTCGCCTCCTCCGTGGCCTCGAACTCCGCGATGACCTCGCGGTCGTCGGACAGGCCGCACCTGGGCGGGAAACAAACATATGAAACACGACGTCAATGTATTCGAAGAGTTCGATACAAGCGCTTCGGCTCTGCTTCGAGAACTCGACGAGAACGATCGATTCGTCCAAAAATCAGCCGAATCGACTTCGATTTGGCCGAGCGAGAGCATTTCAAAGTTTGGTCGGGACGTCCCGAACCGGCGGTTGATTTCCACGCGGGGCCGCGCTCGTCGCGGAGGCTGTGCATCGTCTCCATGGCGAGCTTCACGGCGACGTGGTCGTCGATGAGCTTCTGGAGCTCCGTCGCCTTCTCGTGGACCATGTACTGGCTCAGCAGCAGGTCCTTCTGCGCCGTGTCGAGCGCGGACCGGTCCACCGTCGCGCCCGCGGCCGCGGACGCCTCGTCGACGGACGGCTCGTGCGCGCCGCGGTCCTTGGGCCGCGCCCGGGGCTTGTCCAGGGCCATCTCGAGGGCGCCCTCGAACTTGCCCGTCGACGCGTGGATGTCCTCCAACGTCGAGATCTTCAGCGCGTCGAGCTGGCCGATGAGCGTGTGCGTCTCCATCTGCTTCGAGAACACGGCCTTCTTGAGGGTCTCGAAGGCCACGGTAGCGTGGCGGAGCTCGCGCGTGCGCTGCTCGTGGACCTGGCGCGCGCTCTCCTTCTCCTTGCGCAGGTGGTCCACGCGCTCCCGGAGCTTGACGTTGCCCGTCGTCGCGACGCTGTATTTCGTCCGCAGCGCCTGGAGCCGCTTCTCGAGCTGCTGGACGCCGCTGCCCTTGTGGCACTGCACCTTCTTCCGGCTGTGGAGCAGCTCGCGCTGCCGCGCCTGGATCTGCTGCTTGACGCGCTGGAGCTTCTCGTCGAGGTGGTGCTTGCGCGTCCGCTCGCGCTGGATCTTCTTCGTGAACTCGACGCTCGCGACGTTGACCACCTCCAGCTCCATGGCCCGCCGCTCGCTCTTGGGCTGGTCCATCGCGCGGGCCCGGCCCCGGGGGGGCGGCCGGACCGACAAGCCGCCGGCGCGAAGCAGAGCCTGTCGGTTTTTCACGCGAGAGAGCTTTCTTGAGGGCGTTTTTGGATATAAACTTCAATTAGCGTTTATTGCCACAAGAATCGGCGACAAGAACTCAGCATTATGGCCCACTCGAACGCCGTCGTGCTCGACAGCCTGGCCATGAAGGCCCTGCTCACGACGATCCGGCGCAAGTCGACGCCGCAGCGCACCTACGTCGAGCACTGCGACCGGCTCTGCGCCATGCTCGCCGAGGAGGCGCTGGCGCGCCTGCCCGGCACGGCCTACGACGTGCCCGTCGAGACGCCCTGCGGCACGCTGACGACCGGCAGCGCCGTCGTCGTGCCCGAGCGCGACATCTGCCTCGTCGACATCATGCGCTCCGGCGCCATCCTCCAGGAGGCCGTGCGCCGCGTCGTGCCGGGGGCGAAGACGGCGAAGATCCTCATCCAGCGCGACGAGGAGACCGCGCAGCCCGTGCTCATGTACTCGAAGCTCCCGCCGAAGATCGAGGCCATGAACGTGCTCCTGTGCGACCCCATGCTCGCGACGGGCGGCTCCGCGCTCACGGCCATCAAGGTGCTCAAGGACGCGGGCGTGCCCGAGGAGCGGATCACGTTCGCGAACGTCGTCTCCTGCCCCGAGGGCCTCGCGAACCTGAAGAAGCACGCGCCGAAGGTCGTCGTCGTCACGAGCGCCGTGGACGAGGGCCTCGACGCGCGGAGGTACATCGTCCCGGGCCTCGGCGACTTCGGCGACCGCTACTACGGCACCGCGGGCTACGACGAGGGGTTCTGGGGCTAAGCTGGACGGGATAGCGACGACGAGGAGAGCGGGGTCGCCCTGGCAGGGGTGCGATGTGGTGTGCGGATGCCAGGGGGTGCTGTATGGCATGCCGTGCTACGGGTGAGGAGGCCTGTGAGGGCCTGGGCCCGCGGCGTTCGCCGAAGTCGCCGAGGAACGCAAAGTTCTCTCCGCTGACGGTGTCGCAGCTCGCGCGGCGCCTCCGCCCTCGAGGAGAGTCGACTCGCCCCTTACTCCCTTGGGTATTGCTTCGGCGAAGTCGTGGAACGACCAGAGTTCTCCACCGACGTGTCGCCGCTCCCGCCACACCCCCACCGAGTCCCTCATCGCACCCACATCATGGAGCCCGCGTCCGTCGACGAGGAAGCCAAGGAGGCGAAACCGCTTCCTAAAACGGTCGAGAAGCGCCTGTCGTTTCGCCAGCGCATGTCGTTCCGGGCGAATTTCACCCAGGGCTGGAGCGAACGCGTCAGCGGCGTCATCGTCGCGCGGCCCCGGGCCATCCTCGCGTGCATGTTCGCCGTCGCCGTGCTCGTCGTCGTCGGCCTCGCGGGCGTCGGCGTCGAGGTGTCGGTACAGACGCAATACGACTGGAATGTCGAGGACTCGGTCGCGACGATCCGCCGCGACATGGTCGAGGCGGCCGACGACGACGTCGACGACGCGCGGCTCACGGAGCGCTCCGACCCGACCTACTGGTGGAATTTCTACTACACGACCAAGTCGTTCGCGGGCAAGCGCACCTGCGACGCGCCCCGCGGCCTCTTCACGCCGGAGAACGTCCGCGAGATCTGCGAGACGGAGCAGCTCCTGCTCCGCCGAAACTACGACAAGTACTGCCTCCTGGCGCCCGGCGCCGGCGACGGCGCCGGGGAGTGCGCGCCCCTGCGGCAGTCGCTCGCGGGCTTCTTCTACTCCGCCGACGTCACGGAGCTCGCGGGCGGCGACTGCCCCTTGCTCTCCGAGGCGGACGTCGACGCCGTCGCCGCGCGCATGTACGCGGACCGGGACGCCTACGGGATCTTCCTCGACTCGGGGCCCTGGGACGGCGCGGGCTACGCGTGCCGCGCGCGGTCCTTCTACGCCTTCGCGACGCCGCTGCCCGGCGAGGACGCGATCGGCGCGCTCGGCGACTCGCAGTTCGACGACATCTCCGAGGACGCGGTCAAGGCCGGCGACGACCTCCTCGACCGCTTCGACATGAAGGAGTCCTTCATGAGGAGCGCCTACTACAAGGACGCGCGCGCCGGCGACCCCAAGATGTCCGTGCTCTGGTTCTCCAACTTCGTGCTGTACGAGGAGTGGAACTTCCTCGTCTTCAGCGACCTCGCCTTCGCCGTCTTCTCCGTGATCTTCGTCTGGATCTGGATCCGCGTCCACGTCGGCTCGACGGTCGTCGCGACGATCTCGATGGCGCAGATCGTCTTCTCGATGCCGCTGAGCCTCTTCGTCTACCGCGTCTTCCTCCAGATCACCTACTTCTCGCCCATGCAGATCCTCGCCATCTTCGTCATCCTCGGCATCGGCGCGGACGACGTCTTCGTCTACAGCGACGCGTGGCACCAGTCGCGCGCGGAGTGCCCGCCGCGCGACGGCGAGGGCGAGGGCGACGTGCTCCGGCGCCGCGTCGCCTTCGCCTACGCGCGCGCGCTCCAGGCCATCTTCAACACGTCGTTCACGACGGCCTTCGCGTTCCTCGCGACGTCGATCTCGCCGATCATGCCGCCGCCAGCGTCCTGCGGCCGCGACGATTTTCGAGAGATTTTGACCGGAAAAACGACGAAAAAGTCGTTACCGACGCATTTCGTAGGCCGCTGCACACCTTCGGCGTCTTCGCCGCGATCGCGATCTTGATGAACTACGGGCTCGTCATGACGGTGACGCCCGCGGTCTGGGTCCTGTGCGACCGCGCGGGCCCCGGCCGCTGCGGCGCCGCGCGCGCGCGGATGGCGAGCTGCTGTAGCCGCCGCTGCGAAGCGCGGAAGGACGGGCGGAGCCTCTCGACGCGCTTCGTCGAGGCCTACCTCCGCGTCGTCTCGCGGCGCCGCGTCGCGCTGGGCCTCGTCGCCGCGATGCTCTGCGGCGGCTGCGCGCTCTCGGTCGCGGCGTCGCGGCTCCGGCCGCCGAACGCCCAGGAGGAGTGGCTGCCGCCGGACCACATGTTCTCGCGCGTGCTCGACCTCACGGAGGACGGCTCCTTCGACGCGCAGCGCGCGCAGCGATACCCCACGGTGTCGCTCCTCTGGGGCCTGGACCACCTGTCGCGGCCCAAGTTCGTGCGCTACGAGCCGGAGAAGCACCGCGGCGACGTCCACTACTCGGCGCCCATCCGGCTCCACGAGACCGCGGCGCAGCAGCAGGTGCTGTATGCTTGTGACCAACTCCGCACGTCCGACGGCGGCGCGCTCACGCGGCCGGGCAGCACCGTGTGCTTCCTTGAGGAGTTTCAGGCCTGGCACGCGGCGACCTACGACGGCGCCACGACCTACGACCTCGGCGCGGAGACCTTCGACGCGCGCCTCTCGATCTTTCGCGAGACGACGGCGCCGACGAACGAGGTCAACGTCGTCGCGTCCTGGAAGGAGCTCATCGGCTTCGTCGACGGCGAGCTGCGCTTCGTCCGCGTCGACGCGAAGCTCTCGGTCATCGAGGAGGGGGCCATGGACAAGAAGAAGCGCCGCCTCGGCCAGTTCAACGACCTCGTGGACCGGGTCGAACGGGCCGGCGGCGCGGAGTTCCTCGGCGACGACCTGTTCCACTCGTCGGAGGCCTGGGTCTGGTACAAGACGCAGACGGCCCTGGTCAAGGGCCTGCTGCTCGGCCTGTCGCTCGCGTTCCCCGTCGCGTTCGCCGTGCTCGTGCTCGCGACGCAGAACGTGATCCTCGCGACCTTCGCGATCGCCTCGATCGGTTTCATCGTCTCCTCCGTGCTCGGGGCGTGCTACGCGATGGGCTGGCACCTCGGCGTCAAGGAGTCGATCGCGGGAGTCATCGTCATCGGCCTCGCGGTGGACTACACGATCCATTTGGGGCACATGTACGACCACGCGCGCGCGCTCGGCACGCGCGACCGCGAGGCCAAGTTCGAGTACGCGATGCGCACGATGGGCGAGACGGTCGTCGCGGGCGCGATCACGACGGCGGGATCGTGCTCGTTCCTCCTCGCGTGCCAGCTGACCTTCTTCACGAGCATGGCCGAGCTCATCGTCCTGACCATCGCGCTCTCCCTCGCCTGGGCGCTGCTCTTCTTCATGCCCCTCCTCCGAGTCGCGGGCCCCGAGGACGACCGCGGCAACGTCTACGCGATCTTCCGGGCGTGCAAGGACGCCTGCCACCTGTAAAGCCCCGACCCCCACGTCCACGCGAGCTTTCGGGCGCCTGCCATCCGTAAAACCCCGACCTCCGCGCCTGACGCGAGCTTCCCCGGATCCGACGGGATCTGCCGTCAAGGTGCTGCTCGATGCAGTCCATCGGGGTCGCGCCGGCGCCTCACGGTTCTTGAGCCCTCTCGTCCCCGCTGTCGCCTCCCTGTTCGTCGCCCGCTCATCAGTACGCACGGGGGAGCCGATGAAGGAGTGGGAGAAGAAACAACGCGAGTTCGAGCAGGTCAAGGCCCGGGCGAAAGCGCTCAAGCTCCGCCTGACCTGCACCATCTGCGGGGCGAAACCGAAGACCTTGCTGAATTGCCCGTGCGGGACGACACAGTGCGCGCCAGCGCCGTCGCGACGCTCGCGAACGGTCGGGGGCGCCGCGCGATCGCGCCGCGACACGGACCCGCAGGTACTGTTCGACGGATTGTCAACGCATCGATTGGCGCGACCGAGGCCACCGGAAGGCGTGCAAGAAGATCCGGGACGAGCGCGCGGCGGAGGCGGCGCGGGCCGAGGCGCCGACGCCCCCGCCGTCGCTCCCGGTCTACGGCCCCGCGCCCCGGTCGCACGCCGACGAGGTCCGTGCGCGCATCGCCGCGGAGCACGAGGCGGCCCGCGTGCGCCGCGAGGCGAACCCGGAGCCGGAGCCACAGTCGGCGCGGTTTGGGTCGCGGTGCCCGATCTGTTTGGAGGACTGGGACGTGAATGCTCCGTACGTGCTTTGCATCTGTTGCTGCCGAAAGGTCTGCCAATCGTGCGAGGAGAAGATCGGCTTCGGCGCGTGTCCCCTCTGTCGTGTACCGCGCGCACAAAATGACGCGGAAAGCCTCGCGCGTCTGCGCCGCCATGTGGAGAACGAGGTGCCAGAAGCGATTTCGCATTTGGGATGTGCGTACAACTTCGGTTTCTACGGCGTGGTGACATCCGATAAGAAAGCCGCGAAAATTTGGAAGCGCGCAGTGGAGCTCGGGGACGTGGACGCGACCATTAACCTTGGAAGATTGTACAACAACGGAAGTGGCGTCAAGCTGGACAAGAAGAAGGCGGAGGAGCTGTTTCGCGCGGCCGCAGATCGGGGCGACGGGGTCGCGGAATGCAATTTAGGTTTTTTTCTTGAATCTGAGGGGAAATTTGAAGAATCGTTCCGGTACTACGCGCTCTCGGCTGATCAAGGCTATACCACTGGAGAGAACAACCTTGGCTGCTGCTACATGGTCGGAAGAGGCACGGAAGTCGACCTCGGCAAAGCCAGATACTGGTTCGAGCGCGCCGCTGCCAAGGGCGACGAGCTAGCTATAACGCGCCTCGCACACCTCGACGCGCGAGTATAGCCTAACAATCTGTACGCCGCGTCGTCGTCCGAGACCGAGATGCCGCGCTTGCGCGCGGGCGAGTCGTGCTTGGCCTTGGCGTCGTCGTCGCCGCGGCGTTCCTTTCTGCGCCGACCGCCGCGGTCTGGTGCCTGGCGTGCTTCAACGCGAAGCCCGCCTGGCGCAAGGACGACGACGACGCCGAGGGGGGAATGGAGAACGACATGAACACGATGCTCTAGGACGCCTTCTAGGGGTGGCTTGCCTGGGGTAAGATTTTGAGCGATTGTGCCTTTGCGATAGGCGGGCCTGGGGAGCGACGCAAGGACGCGCGCGTTCAGAGGCCATGGACCCGGAATTGATCAAGAAGAAGCGAGAGTACGAGGCGCGAAAAACCCGTACGAAGCTGGCGCTCAACATATGCACGATTTGCGGGAAGAAGGATGCCCGGCCCTGTAAAGGGTGCGGCACGACGGCCTACTGTTCGACGGACTGCCAACGCATCGACTGGCGCGACCGGGGCCACCGGAAGGCGTGCAAAAAGATCCGTGACGACCGGGCCCGCGCCGAGGCGCCGACGCCCCCGCCGTCGCCGCCGCGGGACGTGTTCTACGGCCCCGCGCCGCGGTCGCACGCCGACGAGGTCCGCGCGCGCATCGCGGCGGAACACGAGGCCGCTCGCGTGCGGCGCGAGGCGAACCCGGAGCCCGAGCCGGCGTCGGCGCGGTTTGGGTCGCGGTGCCCGATCTGTCTCGAGGAGTGGGACGTGAATGGGAAGAACGTGCTTCGCGTCTGCTGCTGCCGAAAGGTCTGCCGATCATGCGAGGACAAGATCAAAACTGCGTGTCCCCTCTGTCGTGTACCGCTCGCAGAAAATAATGCGGAAGGACTCGCGCGTCTGCGCCGCCATGTGGAGAACGAGGTGCCGGAAGCGATTTCGCATTTGGGATGTGCGTACCGCCGCGGTGACTTCGGCCTCGTGAAATCCGATAAGAAAGCCGCGAAGATTTACCGGCGCGCCGTGGAGCTCGGAGATGTCAACGCAATGAATAATCTTGGGCTCTTCTACAATAATGGGCTCGGCGTCAAGCTGGACAAGAAGAAGGCGGAGCGGCTGTTTCGCACGGCCGCGGACCGGGGCGACGCGGCCGCGCAAACCAGTTTAGGGTTTTTACTCGATACTGAGGAGAAACATGAAGAAGCGTTCCGGTGTTACGTGCTCGCGGCGGATCAAGGCTATGCCACTGGAGAGCTCAACCTTGGCATTTGCTACGAGCAAGGAGAAGGCACGGAGGTCGACCTCGGCAAAGCCAGATACTGGTTCGAGCGCGCCGCTGCCAAGGGTCACGAGGCAGCTATACAGGCCCTCGCGGACCTCGACGCGCAAGTATAGCCTGAGTCTTCACGCCGTCGCCGTCGCCCGAGATGCCGCGCTTGCGCGCGGGCGAGTCGTGCTTGGCCTGACTACCACCCGTAAAAACCCCTTACCTCGGCGCCGTCCGTTTCCACTCGCGGAGGCTCGCCCAGGTCACGGCGACGGCGCCCTTCGCGGGGGCCGCGTCGAGCTGGGGGAACGCGTCGCGGAGGAGGTCCGCGACCGCGGCGAGGGACGCGTCGCAGTCGGCCCTGATCACCAGGTCGTCGCCGGCGGCGTCGTAGGTCTCGCCCGTCTCCGGGTCCAGCGCCGCCACCGTGCCCGCGAGCGAGAAGAAGGGCCGCGTCTCCGGCTCGTCGACGACGTCGCGGAGCGCGAGCCGCGCGGCCGCGACCGCGACGTCCGGCCCCTGGACGCGCGGCAGGAGGAACGCGCCGTCGGCGTCCCAGAGCGCGCGCGCGTCGAGCGCGCCGCCGTCGAGGGCCGCCGCGTAGGCGGCGGTCGCCGCGTCGCCCTCGCCCGCGGCCTCGCACGCGCCGACGACGGCGTGGTAGACGACGGAGTCCGGCGGGACGCCGTCGCCGGGCATGCGCCCGAGACACTCGAGGGCCGCCGCCCAGCGGCCGCCCCGCGCGCACGCGGCGACGACGGCGTTGTAGGACACGGCCGTCGGCCGGAGGCCGCGCCTCTTGAGCGACGCGAAGAGGCGGAGCGCGCCGTCGCAGTCGCCCGCGCGCTCGCAGGCCGCGATGGCCGCGTTGTAGGAGATGGCGTCGGGCTCCGCGGCCGGGTCGCCGACGAGCGCCCGGAGGACGCCGAGGGCGAGCGCGCGGTCGCCCGCGGAGCCCGCGGCGGAGATCGCCGCGTTGTAGCAGATCACGTCCGCGCGGCCCGCGCGCCGCGCCTCGTCGAGCAGGGGCCGCACGCGGCCGTCGGCGCGCACGCGGCCCAACGCCGCGAAGACGAGCGTGTACTCGCGCGCGTCCAAAAGCGGCCGGAGCTCCGCGACGACGCCGTCGACGGCCGCGAGCGTCGCCGCGTCCCTGAGGCGCGCGAAGACCGCGCCGCGGCCCGGCCGGTCGCCCGCGAGCGGGTCCGGCGCCTTCATGCGCGACAGGCAGATCTTCGCGACGCGGCCGCCGAGATCGATCTCGCCCGCGCGGCTCGCGGCGCGGGCCGCGGCCGCGCGCTCGAACCGGACCCAGCAGCTGCCGCCGTGGAAGTGGCCGTCGGCCCGCGCGCGCGCGGGGTCCGCGCAGGGCGCGAGGCGCACGGCGAGCACGCGGCCCTTGAAGGCCCGCTCCATGACCCGCGCGAGCTGCTGCGACCCGTAGAGGTAGTTGACGTTCCGCAGGTAGACCTCGTCGTCGTGGACCGCGTCGCCGTCGGCCGGCGGCGGCGGCGGCGGCCGCGCGCGGTCGCGCTTGCCGGCCTCGAGCGTCTCCCGGACCGACTCGGCCTGGATCGCGAAGGCGCCGACGTGGTCGCCGCCGTGCGAGTAGCGGCACGCCTCGCCGCGGTGGCAGCCGCCGAGGTAGAAGTGCGCGTGGCACCGGCCGTCCTTGGGCAACCGGCCGTCCTCCGGCGCGGGCCCGTGCACGTACTTGCACCGGTCGCCGTTCCGGCAGGACCCGCTGCGCAGGAACTCGAAGCAGGGGTTCGCGCCGCTCGCCGGCGCGTAGGCGTCGTAGACGGGAGGCGGCGCGCCGGGCGCGATGGGGTAGCGCGCCGCCGGCGGCGCGACGGCGTCGTAGGACCGCTTCATGGATGCATCAGAGCGTCATGGCTGCGGCGCGGTGCTGCATCGCAGAGCTCGAGCGGCAACATCATCAACATCGGCCGCGGCGCCGGCAAAAACTGGGTCGCTAACACGATATGGCAGCGAGTTCCGGAGGCGACGAGGCGCACACGATGGCAGCGAGCTCCGGAGGCGACGAGGCGCTCGCAGCAATCGCGAAGAAGCTCAAGCTCTCGCCAGAAAGCGGCATCGTCGATGCCTCAAAACTACTAGCTACACACTCCGAGCCGCTCGACGCCGCGCAGGCGGAGCCCATCGCAGCGGGCGCCGCCAAGGCCCTGCGGTCGGGCAAGGACGGCGCCGTCGACGCGGCGGCGGCCTGCTGCGCGCGGCTCGGGGCCCTGACGAGCGGCGCGGCGTTGGGCGCCTGCTGCGGCGCGCTCGCGGCGGGCGCGCGCGACGCGGCGAAGCCCGGCGGCGGCGACGGCGCGCGGCGCGGCGCCGTCGCGGGCCTCGCGGCGCTCCTCGCCGGCGCGGAGACGCGCGGCGAGGCCTGGGCCGGCGCCGGCGCCGCGGCCCTCGACGCCTGCCGCGCGGTCGTCGCCGCCGCGCGGGCCAAGGGCGGCGACGACGGCGCGCGGCGCGACGCGTGGCGCGCCGCGGGCGGCTGGGGCGCGGCCGTCGCCGCGGTCGGCGACGGCGCCTTCTTCGCCGACCTCGCGGCGGAGCTCGCTACGGAGCTCAAGGCCGCGGACAAGGACCGGCCCCGCGCCGCGGCGGCCGCGCTCTGCGCGTGCGCGTGGCTCGGCCGGTCCTTCTCCGGCGAACTCGCCGCGTTCCGCTCCGGCAAGGACGGCCCGGCGCCGACGCCCTGGGGCCCGGCGCTGCTCGCCCAAATCGCCGCGCCCCTCGAGGTGTTAGCAACGTCGAAGAAGCGCAAGGGCCCCGCGCCGGCCGAGGCCGCGCCGTGCCTCTACGCGCTCGCGCTGCTGGACGCGCACCGGCCCGCGGGCGCGAAGAAGAAGCGCGTCGCGGAACTGGCGAAGCTCCTGGGCGACGACACGCCCCTCTTCACGAACGACGCGCCGGCGTCGCTCTGGGCGTCCTGCGGCGTCGCGCGGTTAGGGGCCGCCGCGGGCCTCGAGCCGGCGTCCTGGGCCGGCGTCGCCAAGGCCGCGACCGCGCGCCACGCGGCGCCGCGCTGCGCGGCTCTGGGGGCGCTCCGGGGCCGGTGCGGCGCGTTGGTCGCCGCCTGCGCCGCCCTCTGGGACCTCGCGCGCGCGAAGCCCGCCGTCTCCGTCGGCGCGGTATCGTACGGCGACGACGACGCGCCGACGCCCGTCCACCGCCCGAACTACCGCGACGCGCTCCGGGGTGTGCTGGCCCTCCTGAACGAGGACGGCGCCTGGCCCGGCGACGCCGTCGTCTTCGCGGCGCTCCTCGCGTCCCACGACGCCGTCAACGACTGCTCGCCGCGGTACGCGGCGTCGCTGCTCCGGAGGGTGCCGCGCGACGCCCCGGTCGCACCGGGCGACGGCGCGCCGTTGACGGCGGCGCTCCTCGACGGCGAGGGCGCGGCCTTCACGCGCGCGGGCCTCTTCGCGCGCGTCGCGCGGCAGCGGGCCGCGGCCGCGGCCGCGGCGGCGCTCGCGCCGCGGCCCGGCGGCGCGGCGCTCGTCCGCGCGGCGTGCCACGGCCCCCTCCTCGCGGAGCTCGAGGCGTTGCCGGCCCTGGCGCCGACGGCCGACGAGCTCGCCGCCTACCTCGGCCGCGTCGCGCGCGAAACCGACGCGCCGTCGCTCTTCGCGGAAAGTGGGAAGAAGGACGCGGCCAGGGGCAAGGCCGCGGACGTCAAGACGGGCCGGCGGCCCAAGCTCTACGGCGCCGACGACGAGCAGTGGGCCGAGCAGGTCAAGCGGGAGATCGCCGCGAAGAAGGGCGGCGGCGCCGCCGCGGACGCGCGCGACGACGCGCGCGTGAAAGACGCCGTCGCCGCCGCGGCCGACAAGGTCGCGCGGAAGCGGCGCCGCGTCCTCGGCGCCCTCGCGGCCTGCGCGGCCCTCGCCGACGCGGCGCCGGCGACCTGCGCCGGGCCCTGGCTCGCGGCGGCCGCGGCCGCGTGCGTCCGCGCGCGCGACGCGTTCGCGGACTGCGTCGACGGCCGCGCGCTCGACGACACGCTCGCGCGCCTCGCGGCCGCGGGCCTCGGCCTCGGCTCGCGCCTCGACGCGGCCTGCGTCGGCGCCGCGGCGGCCCTCGCCGCGCGCGGCGCCGCGGCCGCCGCGGTCCTCGCGCCGCCGGGGTGTTCGGACCGGAGCCTCGTCGCCCGGGCCCTGGCGCTCCTCCGCGGCTGCCCGCAAGGGGGCGTGCCCTTCGCGCTGCCCCTCGCGCGCGGCGCCCTCGGCGCGGCGCCGGACGTCTTCGGCGACCCGCCCTGCGACGGCTACGAGCCGCCGTCGCGCGACGCCTTCGGCGCCGCGCTCTCGGTCGTCGCGTCGCTCGCCGAGGCCGACGACGACGTCTTAGCGGCGCACCGCCGGGAAGCCTTCGACGCCGTCGCGGCGCTCCAGCACGCCTGCTGCCTCGACGACCTGCTCCGCATCACCTGCGGCGACGGCGACGCGTCGCCCGCCGCGGCCGCGTTGACGCTCGCCGTCGCGGGGCCGCCGCCGTCCCTCGGCGACCTGGCGCCCCTCGTCGGCGGCGACGGCGCGCGGCCCCTGGCGCGGGGCGCCCTCGGGCCCGACCCGCGGCAGCGCGTCGACGCGCTCAAGGCCGCGGAGCAGGCGCTCCGGTCCCGCAAGGTCGACGGAGGCGACCGCGGCGACGACGCGCCGCTCCGGTGCCGGCTCCTGGTCGCGCGCCACTTCGAGGACGCGGCGACGCGCGGCGCCGCCGAGGCCTGCTGGGCCCAGCTCCCCTCGGGCGAGCTGCCGGACCCCGTGACGCTCCGCGCGTTCGCGCTCGAGGACGCGGGCGCCGGGTCGACCGAGGCCGACTACGCGGCGGGCCGCCTCGCCGCGTGCGCGGCGCTCGCCTTCGTCGCCGCGTCGGCGGGCGCCGGCGCCGTCGTCGACGCGCTCCGGAGCGCCTTCGACGCCGCGAAGCCCGACGACGGCGCGGCGCCCGCCGCCGCGGACGACGCGTACTTCGCTGCGCCCGGCGACGAGGGCCCCGCGATGCGCCAGCGCGACTTCGAGCTCAAGGTCGCCGCGGATCTGCGGGCCCGGCGCCGCGCGGCCGTCGCCCTCGCGGCGCTCTTCGCCAGCGGCGCCGTCGTCGCCGCGGCGCCCGAGTCGACGTTCGCGTGGCTCGTCGAAGCGGGCCTGCCCGACGACGACGACGTCGTCCGCGGCGAGCTCGTCAACGCCGGCGTCGCCTTCCTCGACGGCGCCGCGGGCGCCGGCGGCGTCGCGGCGCCGCTGGCCGTCCTCGAGCGGGCCCTCGGTGCGCCCCTCGACGCGGAGACGCAGGAGGCCGTCGTCGCGCTGCTGGGCGCGGCCGCGAAGCACCTCGACGTGGAGGACGCGCGGCTGCCGGACGTCGCCGAGCGCCTCGCCGACGCCCTCGTGGCGCCCCGGGCGTCCGAGGCCGCGGCGCCGGCGGCGCCGGCGCCGGAGAAAAAGAAGAAGGCCGCGGCGCCGCGGCCCGTCGCGAAGACGGGCGCGGCCGCGATCATGGGCGGCGGCGGGTCGACCCTCAAGCGGCCCGGCGGCGGCGCGAAGCGCGGGCCCGCGCAGCCTCTGTTGGGCGCGGCGTCGCTCCGGCCCAAGCCCAAGGCCGCGCCGGGCCGCGCGGCCGCGCCGTCCGTGAAGAAGACGGTCAAAAAGAAGAACCGCGAGGCGGGCCAGGTCGCCATCGCCGACGGCCTCGTGCCCCTCGTCAAGGCCATGAAGAAGCCCCACGGCGACCGCGCGGGCGCCTTGCTCGAGCGGCTCCTGGCCGCGTGCCTCGAGAGCCCCGGCGGCGGCGAGCGCCGCGGCGCGGCGCACGGCGTCGCCGCGGCGATCAAGGGCCTGGGCATCGGGTCGTTGAAGGCCCACGGCGTCGTCGCCAAGCTCGAGGCGGCCCTGGACGCGGGCGAGGGCATCAACGCGAAGCACGGCGCGCTGAGCGCCGTCGAGCGCCTCGCCGCGCGGCTCGGCGTGCTCTTCGAGCCGTACGAGATCGCGCTGCTGCCCTTCCTGCTCCGGGCCTTCAGCGAGGGGTCCGACGTCGTGCGCGACGCCGCGAAGGGCGCGGCGCGCAAGGTCTTCGAGGGCCTCAGCGCCCACGGCGTTAAATTGGCGTTCCCCGCGGTGCTCGGCGCCGCGTCCGGCGACGAGACGTCGAACTGGCGCGCGCGCGTCGCGGCCATCGACATGCTCGGCGCCACGGCCCACTGCGCGCCGAAGCAGTTGGGTGCTGTGCTCCCTCGTGCTGTGCCGGCCCTGGCCGGCGCCCTCGCGGACACGTCGGCGCAAGTAAGAGACGCGGCCAAGGCCGCGCTCGACGACGTCGCGTCCGTCGCGCGGAACCCCGAGGTCAAGGCGCTGAAGCGCGAGCTGATCGAAGCTTTAGTGGACCCGGCGCACGCGACGCGCGAGGCGCTCGATGCGTTATTAGGCCGCGAGTTCGCCCACGCGCTGGACGCGCCGTCGCTCGCGCTCCTCGCGCCGATCCTCCAGCGGGGGCTCCGCGACCGCGCGGCGGAGACGAAGCGCCGCGCGGCGCTCGTCGCGGGGAATTTGAGCGCTTTGTGTTCGGGCACGGCCCAAGCGACGGCGGCGCTCGCGCCCCACATGCCGGCGCTCCAGCCGCTGCTCGAGGCCGCGGCTGTCGGCGACGCGCACCCGGACGTGCGGTCGGCCGCGGCGCGCGCGCTCGCGCAGATCGTCGGCGCGCTCGGCGAGGTCCAGGTGCCCTTTGTCGTGGAGCGCCTCGTCAATGCGGCTTTGGGGTGCCGGTCGTCGGACGCGACGGTGGACGGCGGCGACATCCTCGGCGGCGACGCGGGCGGCGGCGGCGCGAACGGCGGTTTACTCGGCGGCGCGGCGTCGGGCGCGTCCGAGCGGTCCGGCGCGGCCCAGGCGTTGTCGCTCGTGCTCAACGAGCTCGGCGAGGACCGCGTCGCGACGTGCCTGACTTCGTCGCTCGCGCCCCTGGGCCGCCAGGAGACGGCCGCGGGCCGCGAGGGCGCGCTGTGGTGCGTCCGGTATCTGGCGCGGGACACGGCCGAGTTCTCGCCGCTCGTCGGCGACGCTTTGGGCTGCGTGCTCGACGGCCTGGCGGACGACGCGGACCCCGTGCGCGAGGTGGCGTTGTTGGCGGGCAAGCAGCTGGTGAGGAGCCACGGCCGCGAGGAGTTACGGGTGCTCCTGCCGTCGCTCGAGGCGCGGCTGCTGGGCACCGCGTGGCGCATCCGCGCGGCGGCGGCGCAGTTGATCGGCGAGCTGCTCTGCCTCGTGGGCGACGCCAAGCCCGTGGGCGTCGCCGTCGAGGAGCTCGACGACATCGACGCGGCCATGGGCGACGAGGCGACGGGCGCGCTCATCGAGGAGCAGATCGGCGCCGCGGGCTGGCGGAACACGCTGTCGAGCCTGTATATCGCGCGCCTCGACGCCGTCGCCGCCGTGCGCCAGGCGGCCGTCGAGGTCTGGAAGACCGTCGTGCCCAACAGGGCAGCAAAAGGGTGATTCAACGTCGCTTCAACGTGAGTGTTCCGCGCGCGCGCGTTTCGGAAACAGCACTCACGCTTCGAGAGCGCTCCGAGAGATGATCGCTCGTCCAAAAATCAGCCGAAACGAGCGGAAACCGACCGAGATAGGAGCCTTTGAAGTTGGGAATTTCGCACCCTTTTGCTGCCCAGGTGCCCAACACGCCGCGCGCGCTCCGCGACATCCTGCCCGTGCTCGTCGCGCGGCTGGTCGCGATGCTCACGCCGGCGGGCGCCGACGGCGGCGCGCCGCGCGGGCCCGCGGCGCCGCGGCCGCCGGCGGACGCGTCGAGCGACGACGACGACAGCGGCGACGAGGACCTGGACGAGGGCGACGACGCGGACGCGGAGAAGCAGCGCGTCGCGAGCCGCGCTTTAGGCGACGTCGTCAAGAAGATCGGCGACCGCGTCGTCCCCGAGCTCGTGCCTTTATTGCGCGAATCCTTCGCCGAGGGCGACGAGGCGACGCGCGTCGGCGTCTGCCTGGGCCTCGCCGAGGTCGCGTCGGCGACGCCGCAGCGCCAGGCGCTCGGCCACCTCGGCCTCCTCGCGCCGGTGATCGAGGACGCGCTCTGCGGGTCGTCGCGGTCGACGCCGCGCGTCCAGGCCCACGCGGCGCTCGCCTTCCACGCCCTCTACGGCCAGGCGGGCCGCGACGCCGTCGACGCCATGCTCCCGGGCCTGCTGCGGCGCCTCGACGACGATTTGGACGACGGCGACGGCTCGCCCGCGGTCCGCGCGCGCCAGGCGCTGCGCGACGTGCTCCGGCGGCGGAGCCGCGAGCTGCTGCCGCTGGTCGTGCCGGCGCTGCTCAAGCGGCCCATCGGCGACCTCCGCTGCGCGGCGCTGTCCGCCGTCGCGGACGTCGCCGGCGGCCCGCTGAGCCCCTTCGTGTCGTCCGTCGCGCGCGGCGTTTTAGCGGAGCTCGCGGCCATCCCGCCGGGCGACGGTGGCGAGAACGACGCGCGGCGCGGCGCGCTCCTCGCGGCGGCGGCGGACGTCGCCGCGGCCGTCGCCGCGGCCGGCTTCGCGTCCGACGCCGTCGGCCAGCTCGCGAGCCCCTTTGCCACCACGAAGGACGACGCGCGCCGCGACGCCGCGGCCGTCGCCGCGGCCTTCTTCGCCGCGGTCAAGCGGCGGCTCGCCGCGCCGCCGCCGGGGAGCGTCGTCGCGCCCGACGCGTCGTCGCGCCTCCTCGACGCGGCGCCGAAGCTCCTCAAGGAGCTGCTCTGCTGTTTAGGAGACGGCGACGGCGGAGTCCGGTCCGCGGCCGTCGACGGCCTCGAGGCCTACGGCGCCGCCTTCGACGCGGAGCAGCAGGCGACGCACCTCGACTTCACGCGCGTCACCCTGGCGTCGGCGGCGTCCGACGCGCGCTGGAAGCAGAAGCGCGGCGACGACCCGCTGCCCGCGCTGAGCGAGGACCCGCGGTGCCTCAAGGCGCTGCTCCCCTCCTACCTCCGCGCGCTGCTCCAGGGGTCGCCCGAGGCGCGCGAGTCCGCGGCGCTGGGTTTGGGCGAGCTCGTGGACCTGAGCTCCGAGGCCGCGCTCAAGCCCCTCGCCATCAAGGTCGCGGGGCCGCTCATCCGCGTCGTCGGCGACCGCTTCGCCGCGCCCGTGAAGGCCGCGATCCTCGGCGCGCTCTCCGCGCTCCTGCGCCGGGGCCCGCTCCTCGTCAAGGCCTTCGTGCCCCAGCTCCAGGCCACGTTCTCCAAGGCCCTCCGCGACCCGAGCCGCGACGTCCGCGCGCGCGCGACGGCCGCGCTCGGCCTCCTCGCGCCGCTGTCGACGCGCCTCGACGCGCTCGTCGCGGACCTCGCGCAGTCCGCGGGCGCCGACGACGCGCCCGAGGTCGTCGTCGCCGCGCTGCTCGGCGCCCTCGTCGTCGTCTTCGCCAACCTGGGGGCAAAAACCCCGAAGCCCGAGAGCGTCGACGCCGCGCGGGCCGCGGCGCGCGACTTCGCGGGCCACGCGGACCCGGAGGTCGCCGCGGCCGCGGAAAAGCTCGGGGCGGCGCTGGCCTAACCGTAGCTTACGAATCCCCCTACTCCATGTCGGGGATGTCGAGGTCGTCGTCGTCGTCCTCGGGCTCGACGCCGGCCGCGGGCTCCGCGTTCGCCGACGCGTCCTTGGCGGCGTAGGCCGAGGCGAGGATGGGGTTGGCGACGTCCTCGAGCTTCTTGCGCTCCTCGGCCGTGGCGTCCTCGTCGGCCGTCGCGTGGTCGTCGAGCCACGCGAGCGCGGCCGCGAGCGCGGCGTCGAGCCGCTCCTTCTCGCCGTCCGGCAGGTCGAGCGCGCCCGACGACGCCTTGAGCTGGTAGGCGTAGGACTCGAAGCCGTTGCGCGCCTCGACGGCGGACCGGAGCTTGGCGTCCTCCTCGGCGAACTCCTCGGCCTCGGCGACCATGCGCTTGATCTCGTCCTCGGAGAGGCGGCCCTTCTCGGACGTGATCGTGATCTGCTGCGTCGCGCCGGACGCCTTGTCGTTGGCGGAGACGGAGAGGATGCCGTTGGCGTCGACGTCGAAGCCGACCTCGATCTGGGGCACGCCGCGCGGCGCGGGCGGGATGGAGCCGAGCTCGAACTTGCCGAGCTCGCGGTTGTCGCGCGTCATCGCGCGGTCGCCCTCGAAGACCTGGATGAGCACGCCGGGCTGGTTGTCCTGGAAGGTGGAGAAGGTCTGGGTCTTGCGCGCCGGGATCGTCGTGCCCCGGTCGATGAGCTTGGTCATGACGCCGCCGGCCGTCTCGATGCCGAGGCTTAAAGGCGCGACGTCGAGGAGGAGCACGTCCTTCGTCGCGTCGCCCGTGGCGCCGGACAGGATGCCCGCCTGGACGGCGGCGCCGTAGGCGACGGCCTCGTCGGGGTTGATGCGCATGTTGAGCTCCTTGCCGTCGAAGAAGTCGCGGAGCAGCGCCTGGACGCGGGGCACGCGCGTGCTGCCGCCGACGAGGACGACCTGGTGCACGTCCTTCTTGTCGATCTTCGCGTCCTTGAGCACGCGCGCGACGGGCTTGAGCGTGCGCTTGAAGAGGTCGCCGCAGAGCTCCTCGAACTTGGCCCGCGACACGGGCACGGAGAGGTCGACGCCCTGGTGCACGGCGTCGACGTCGACGGACGTCTGGGTGGCGGACGATAAGGCGCGCTTCGCGAGCTCGCACTGCTTGCGCACGCGCTGGAGGGCCTTGGGGTCGCCGGCGATGTCCATGCCCTTGTGCTTCTTCTTGAAGGCGGCGACGCAGTGGTCCATGAGCCGCTGGTCAAAGTCCTCGCCGCCGAGGTGCGTGTCGCCGGACGTCGCGCGGACCTCGAAGACGCCGTTGTCGATGGTGAGGAGCGTGACGTCGAAGGTGCCGCCGCCCAGATCGAAGACGAGCACGTTCTCCTCGCGGGACGCGCCGCCCTGGGCCTTGTCGAGGCCGTAGGCGATGGCCGCGGCCGTCGGCTCGTTGATGACGCGCTCGACCTTGAGGCCCGCGATCGTGCCCGCGTCCTTGGTCGCCTGGCGCTGGGCGTCGTTGAAGTAGGCCGGCACCGTCACCACAGCGTGCTTGACCTCCGTGCCCAGGAAGGCCTCGGCCGTGTCCTTCATCTTGCCGAGGATCATCGCGGACACCTCCTCGGGCGAGAAGGCCTTCCGCGAGCCCGCGGCGACCTCGACCTCGACCTTGGGCTTGCCGTCCTTGTCGGCGACGATGTCGAAGCTGAAGTGGCTCCGGTCCTCGACGACGGACGCGTCGCCGAACTTGCGGCCGATGAGCCGCTTCGCGTCGTAGACCGTGTTCTTCGGGTTCTGCGACGCCTGGTTCTTCGCCGCGTCGCCGACGAGGCGGCTCCCGTCGCCGCAGAAGCTCACGTAGGACGGCGTGATGCGGTTCCCCTGGTCGTTGGCGCAGATCTCCACGCGCCCGTTCTGCCAGACGCCGACGCAGCTGTAGGTCGTGCCGAGGTCGATGCCGATGCATGGGCCCACGATCTTGTCGTCGTCGCCCTTCTTGGCGCCGCCGCGCGACACGCGGTGCGGTGAGAGCGGCGTCGGCCGCGCCTGCGTCGTCGCGCAGGCGACCAAGGCGCAGAGCAGCGCTCGTCGCCGATCGAGCGCCATCGCGGTTCCGCGCTTGATGCTCAAAAGGTAACACGCGGCACTTGAACTGCATGCCGCGCCCCGCGTCGGTATCGGCGCGGGACGACACATCAGGACCCCGGTCGACAGCGACGCTTCGGCAGCAATGCGCGGGCCACGAGCCGAAGTATCGTTCGCGACGGCGTCGCGGCGCGCGGCCGCGCGCGCGCGCGCGCGAGAGTGCGAAGCGCGTCGCCTGGTGCAGGATCGGGGACACGTCGGCAGACGAGCGAGGCCGCGGCATCCAGCCCTCCACCCGTTTTCTCGGGAGGCACTGCCAGGCCTACGGCCGCCGACGCCGACGCGCCGCGAGCCGGACGCGGCGGCCAAGCTCTGACCAAGCGTCAACGAGCCACGATATGATGCGCACTCTCTTGCTCCTCGCGGCCGCGGCGAACGCGTTTACGACCAAGCAGAACAGCCTGCCGTCGGCGCGGCGAACGGCTTCCACGGTCGTGCGCGCGCGGCGTCCTCGCGCCCTCCGCGCGCCGCCGCCGAGCCGGGCGTGTTGATGGTCACCCGCGCCGCAGGCCCCGAAGATGCTCGACGCCGCGACGATCCAGGGCGGCAAGCCGCCGGCGTCCGCCCGGCTTCGCGCGCGCGCGCGCGGCGCCCGACGCCGCTCTCGACGCGCAGGCGCGGCCGCGTTCGGCGGGCTCGCCGTGGGCGTCTTCTCGGTCTGGTTCTCGGAGCAGCAGATCACCCGGGGCGAGGAGCGCGGCTCCGATGCCGTGTCGGACTTCACGAAGGCGAAGATGCGCGCCGCCGGCGCGACGCGACGCGCCGCGCGCCGCTTGACCGCGACGACCGCGCAGGTCCGCGATGTTCATGGAGGACGAGGTCGTGCCGGACGCGTCGCTCGACGACACGGTGCGCCGCATGGAGGCCGCCATCGCCGCCGCCAAGGGCGAGGAGGTGCCCGTCGAGGAGGAGCCCCGGGAGGTCGAGGTCAAGGACGACGGCTGGTAGAACGGTACCGCGCGCGCAAGCCCCGGACCAGTAAGTGCGGGACCCCTTAGACCGGCGTCGTGCGGCGTCGTGGTGGTTCCGGAATGTGCCGAGTGTTACTGGCAGGACGCGCGCCCCAACGTTCGCGCACCTAGCGCCGCTTCTTCTTGCCGCCGCCCTTGGCCTTGGCGGCCTCGGGCTTGGCCCCGGGCGCGCGCGCGGCCTCGCGCTTCGCCTGGACGCGGTCCCAGAAGTTGGCCGTGCCGTCGCGATCCGCGGCCTCGGCGTCGGCGGCGGCGACGGCGAGGTAGCCGCGCGCGCAGACCGCGACGTCCGCCGCGGCGACGACCGCGGCGAGCGTCGCCACCGCGAGGCCCGGCGCCGCGAGGACGCCGTAGGCCGTCTTGCCGAAGGGCAGCGCGACGTCGCGCCAGCCCGCGGCGGCGACGACGAGCACCGGCGCGAGCCGCCGGGCCGCTGCGGCGACCGCGATGCCCGGCGCGGTTTCGCCGGCCGCGTTCCGCAGCGTCGCGTCGGCGCCGATCGCGTAGAGCGCGGCGCGCACGCGCCAGCGCTGGTTCCGGTACGCGAGCACGTGGAGCGTGTCGCCGGGCGACGCTTGCAGGCCGCCGACGGAGGCGCCGCCGATGGCGCCGCCGACGACCTGGAGGTTCGGGGAGACGCCGGACCCGGCGAAGGCCGACCGCAGGCCCTCGCCGCTGTCCTCGACGAGGGCGTGGAGCGCGAGCACGTAGGTGGAGACCGTCTCCTTGGAAGTGGACATGATCGACGTCGAGGCGTCCGACCGCGCTCGCAGCGCTCGCAGATCGCTCGAAATGAGTCGCAAAATCAGAGGCAAATCTCACGCCTGCAGGACAAGTCGCTGGGCCCTCTCGACCTCTAGATCGATCGACCGCGCCGAAAAGAACAACGCGAAAATTAGGAGGGCGCCTTGCCCCGCTTCCGCTTCCGCTTCTTCCGCGGCGCGGCGCCGCCGCCGCCGCCGCGCGGCGCGGCGCCCGCGGGCGCGTAGAGCCAGCCGAACACCGAATAGCGGAGCCGGTCCGACGTCGGCGGGCGGACCTCGTGGAGCCGCGGCACGCGGAACGCGACGAGGCTGTTGTGCGACGGCGCGTAGGCGTCGCCCGTCGCGCGGTCGACGAACTCGCCGCCGTGGGCCGCCGCGTCCCAGGGCGTTTCGTCGCCCGTGGCGTACCAGACGAGGGCGAGGACGCGGGCCATGCGCGCGCCGTCGATGGTCGTCTCGGCCGCGTCGTCGTGCGGCTCGATGTAGTCGCCCCTGCCGTAGCGCGCGAGCTGCAGCTTCGCCACGAGGCCGCGCGCCGCGCAGAAGGGCGCCGCGGCCGCGGCGACGTCGTCGAGGAGCGCGGCGACGGCGGCCTCGCGGGCCGCGTCCTCGGAACCGTCGCCGACGCTGTACGCGTGCGCCGTCGACCCGGCGCCGCGCTCGCCGCGCGCGGCGTCGACGGCGCGCGTCGCGCGGTGCCACGTGCGCTCCGGCAGCGACGCGAGCAGCTCGTGGGCCGCGCGCGCCGCCTTCCGCGGCAGCAGCCGGTTGATGCGCACGAGCCCGCCGTCCACCAGCAGCAGGGCCTCGACGCGCTCCGCCGCGGTCTGTTTCCGCGGCGTCGGCGTCGGCGGCGCGGCGCCGACGGGCGCGCCGGCCAGGGCGATGAGCTCGTCCATATTATTGTGCGTATGTAGCTGCCGGCGGTGCAACTGCGACGAGGCCTCAGATCACTTCACGGGCTCAATGCCTTGTGGCAATCTGTCAATTGCGCAGGCCCATCGTGTGCATTCATCGCCGGCAAGAGCTACGAGCACCGCCGCCGCGCGCGATGCGCGCGCCGCCGCTCCTCGCGCTGCTCGTCGCCTCGAGCCATGCTCTCGTCCTGCGAAGCAGCGGCGGCGCCGCGCCGCGCGGCGCCGCACCGCGGAGTGGCCCGCGCCGCCGCGCCGACCGGCGCGCGGCGACGCGCGTCTACAACCTGAACCAGCACATCGACGCCATCGCGGGCCAGTTCGAGGCGACGGACGTGAGCGACCTGCCCGGCTGGGTGCAGGACAGCATCGTCGGCGGTGGCCTCAACCAGCTGACGTTCGACGAGGCGAACGCGTCGGTCTTCTCGTTCCAGGTGCTCATCATCGGCCTCGCGATGTACGTCTCGCAGCAGCGCTACGGCGCGTCGGGCGCCCAGGGCCAGACGCAGCTCGCCGCGGAGAAGATGCGCGCGGAGCGGCGCAAGCGGTCCAAGTTCGACGCCGAGCCCGAGTCGCTCGACGACGTCGACGTCGCCGCGTGGTTCGACGACGACGACGCCGCGCAGTAACAATCGTGGAGGTGTCTCGCGCGAGTAGAATCGACGGGGCCACACCCGAGAGGCGCTCCTTCGACGGCGCGCGGTCTTACCCGGAGCGCGCGCGCGCGCGGCCGGCGTTTCAGCCGCACGCGGCCGCGGCGAGGCCCTCGGCGGCGACGGCGTACTTGGAGCCCTGGACGACGCGGAAGTTCATGGCCCGCTGCTGGAGGGGCGGCAGGGGCGCCTTGGGCGTGCCCGCGGCGAGGAGCGCGCCGTCGTCGTCGACGAGGCAGAACGACTTGAACTCGTCGACGGGCGACCAGACGAGCTTGAAGGCGACCCTAGCGCGGAACTGGACGTGGGCGACGTCGCGCGGCGGGTCGGTGTCGCAGCCGTTCGTGCACGTCGACCACGAGCCGCCCGGCCCGAGCTCCGGGATCGACGCGACGCGGATGCCCGGGCCGAGCAGGTTCCGCCGCGAGATCTCGTTCACCGCGCCGTTGGCGTTCGACTCGTCCTGGACGTCGCCGAGCATGGTGCAGAGGTCGCAGTGGTTGTAGTCGTTGAACGCGTGGCCCGTGTACCCGCCGCCCGGCGCGGCGTCCTCGAGGTCGCGGAGGCCGCCCGCCCAGAGCAAGCGACGGCGGACGGCGGGCCACTCCTGGTCGAGCTCGGCGCGCGTGAGCTTCGCCACGCGGCCGTGCACGCTGTTCAGGCGCTCCACGGCCGTGCCGGGGTACTTGCTATCGACCATCATGGCCATGCTGCGACTCCCGAGGCTCGCGGCGACGCACAACCGCCGCAGCATGCACCGGAGCGGCTGCCTGTTTTGTTTCGAGCTCTGCGCGTCGGTGCGCGGAGGCTGCCTGCGGTGTCGAGCTCTGCGCGTTGGTGCGCGGAGCCGTGCGGTCGCGTGCGGAGCGTGCGAAGCTGTCGCGGCTGGCCTTGCGTCACAGCTTAGCAGGGTGAATCGAAGCTGATCAGCTGAGGCTGGTTCAGTTCACTACAGTTGTGCACTGTGGCACTCACGTTGAATTCAAGGTCAAGGGTCTACCTCGTCGAGGGGTCCCCGGTCGCGCGTCGCTGCCCGCCGCTTGTCCCGAGATCCACTACGAAACTAGGGCCGCCGCACGGGCAGGAGGCAGCACGCGGGCGCGTCGTCGACGGCCCGCTCCGTCGGCGGCGCGTCGGCGACCTTGGCGGCGAATAAGGGCGCGGGCGGCCGCGGCGGCGGGCTCGGGCGCTTCGCGAAGGCGCAGCCCGCGAGGAGCTGCGCCGCGCGTTTCCTCGCGCGCGGCTCGAGCGCGGCCAGCGTCATCTGCGACGCGAGCTGCGGGTTGTGGAGCATGCCCAGGGTCCGCATCCAGCTCGGCTGGTGGTACAGCTCCAGGGGCAGGGCGTCGATGACGAATTTCAGGAACACGTGGTTCGCGAGGCCGAAGCTCGTCGCGCAGAAGAACGCGATCGCGACGACGCTCGGGTACGGGCTCCGCGCGGCGGTGACGATTTTCCACTCGAAGAGTCCCATGAGCGGGTAGATGCCGCCGGACATGAACATGACGAACATGACGCCCACGACGTTGACCGCGCCCTCGTAGAACTTCGCGCCCTTGAGGCCCGCGTCGCCGCCGGCCGTCGCCGCCAGCATGCCGAGCATCACGGCCAGGAACACGACGAAGAGCATGGAGAAGAAGACGAACATCGCGATGGCGTCGCGGACGTCGTCGGACGACGCCCGCCACGCGGTCCACGTGTCGCGGCCGTCGGCCGGCGCGCCGTTGTCGCGGAGGAGGGCGAACGGGATCCCCATGATGAGCCCCGCGATCAACGCGCACATTTCGCAGATGAAGAGGAGCTGCCCCTGCCACTCCTCCGTCGGGCTGGCCAGCAAGGCGAGGAACAGGGCGCCGGGCTGGCCCATGGGCCCGGGCTCCTTGCCGTCGCGGCCGCGCACGAGCAGGAACGCGCGGACGCGCGCGGGCACGTCGTCCTCGTCCCAGTCGTCGCCCTGGCCTCGGAGCTCGGCCTTGATCGTGAGCTTGAGGCCCATGGGCGCGCCGCAGGCCGCGAAGTCGCCGTCACTCGCCAGGGCGAGCTGCCAGGCCCAGGTCACCCCTTGGGTCTCGAGCGCCGCCACGACGGCCGCGGCGACGCCGTCGGCCTCGCCGATGCGCGCGGCGGCGGCCGCCACCACGTCGCCGACGGACCGCGCGTCGTCGTCCTCGGCGACGCGCAGCGCCGAGTCCTGCCTCGCCGGCCGACCGCGGCGCATCACGTACATCGTAGAGTTGGAAGGGTGGGCCGGCAGCCCTCGTGCAGCCTTCAATCACTAGTGCAACGCATGTCAAACACTCGTACTTGAAGGATTGATCATCTCGATTTGAGATTGATCCAGTCACACTTCGTCACACTTCCCTACTACGAACTCTCGCGTCGTCGGCAGCAGCCTCTAGGGCATGTCGCCGCTGCTCGACATGCAGCTGGACGACCCGCCGGATCCCGGCGGGTACCCACATACAACCAACACAACAATAACACCAAGTCCCGCGCCCTACGCGCCGTTCTCGCATGCGCAGACGCCGACGGTGCCGCTGGAGCTCATCGTGCAGATGCTCGGCTACCTCGGCGCGTCGGACTTGCGGAGCTTCGCGCGGTGCTGCACCTTCGCCGCGGACCAGGCGCTCGCGTCCAACGACGAGCGGCTCTGGCGGCCGCTCGTCGACGCCGTCGCGGCGCGCGCGCAGCGGCACGTCCGCGCGTCGCGCGGCGGCGGCGGCGGCTGGCGCGGCGCCTACGCGGAGGCCATGGCGGACCTGCGGCGCCCGACGCTCACGGCGGGCGACGTCGTGGGCCTCGAGTGGCGCCTGCGGTTCACGGAGCGCGCGTCGGGCGCGTTCTTCGCGGCGCCGCACGAGCCGCGGTTCCTCGAGGACGGCACGCTGCTGCTCCGGGGCTACCCGCGCCTGCCCTGGTCCGTCGCCGACGGCGGGCGCATCGTCGTCATCGCCCAGTTCCCGCCCCATGCCGTCGGCCGCCGGTCCGGCTACGACGGCGCGTGGACGCTCGCGAACGAGAACGTGACCATGTGGACGGTCGACGAGGCCTGCGCGGCGCGCCACGCGCGGGCCGCGGCGGCGATGGCGCGCCGCGGCGACGCCCACCTGCGGGCGGGCCGCGCGCGCGTCGCGCGCCTCGAGTACCGGACGATGCTCGGCCACTGCGGCGGTTTAGCGCGGCCGCCGCCGCCGGGCGACCCCGACGCCGCGCCCGCCGCGCCGGGGTCGCCCTGGAGCCGCTACCGGCGGGACCCGGGCGCCGAGGCCATCGAGGCCGAGGAGCGCGCGCTCACGGCGACGCTGACGGCGCGGGAACGCGAGGTGCGGACGGCCGCGCTCGGCCGCCTCGCGGGCGCGGCGCTCGAGTGCGGCCGCCGCGCGACGGACGACGCCCAGGCCTGCGAGGCCCTCGTCGAAGCCCTGGACTGCGCGCGGCGCGCGCTCGCGACGCACATCGACCGCGCGGAGACGTCGGAGGTCATCCAGGCGCACCGCGACGCCGCCGTCGCCGCGCTCCACCGCGTCGCCGCGGACCGCCGCGGTCCGCCGTCGCCGGCGACGCCGGACGTTCGCCGGGCCCGGGCCGACTCGTCCTCCGAGGCGCCCACGCGGTCGCCGTCGCCCGTCCGCGACGCGATGGACGAGTCCGCCTGCCCGCCGCCGCCCGGGACGGACTTCAAGTCCGTCCTCAGCCGCCTCTTCGAGTGGGCCGCCTCCACCTCGACCGCGCCGTGACGCGACGATTCCGCGCCGCGGTCGAGGGGGGCCCAACTCTGTTACTTGTGCCCTGTGTTCCAAACTTTGCCACCTACGTTCGCGCGCGCGTTCGGGGGGACGTCGTCCGGTGCGCCGGCGTCTTCGCGTCGGTGCTTTCGACGTTCGAAAGACGAGAGCACGTCGCGTGGCGCGCTCGAGTTCTTCCAGGACGCCTCCGCCTCCGCGGGATTTGCTTTCCCTCAACGTGACGGGCAACGAAAGCTGTGGCAAAGCAGATTGGCAAAGCAATGGTCGCCTCGTGAGGCGAACGACGTCTCATCCTCCGAAATAGCCATGGCTGCGCTCGTCGACGCCGAGCCGGAACGTCTGCACGTGTGCTACGAGGGCCGCGAGACCTTCGAGGTGGCCATCGACCCCCCCAAGAGCTGGCGCTACGGACCCGTCGTCGGGCGCGCGCTCGAGGCCTTCTGCGGCGCCTTCAACGCGCGCTTCAAGGGCGTCGCCCACGTCTACGCCGCGGACCTCGAGCTGCGCCGCGGCGGCGCGGCGCTGCCGCTGGGCGCGCGCCTGCGCGACGTCGGCGGCGGCGGCGTCGCCGCGCGGCCGCGGCGCGACGGCGCCGCGTTCTACGCGCCGTCGCGGGGCCGGCCCGAGCGCGAGTGGCCCCGGGGCCGCGCCGTCGACGCCGGCGGCGGCGCGCCGACGCGCGAGGCGCCGCCGCCCGAGGCCGGCGCCAAGGCCGCGAAGGCGCGCGCGAAGCGCGAGGCGAAGCGCGACGCGCTCCTGCGGCGCGCGAACGACGCCGAGGAGCGCGCGGAGGACCGCTACCACTACGCGGCCGCGGCCCTCGGCTGGGACCCGGCGTGTCCGGCCTGCGCCGCGGCCTACGTCGCCGCGCTCGGCGCGACGGGGCGCTGGGCGCGCGCGGCGGACTTCCTCGAGGCGCTGCCCCTCGGCGAACTAGCGCACTGGCCCGCCGCGGCGCGGCGCGCGGCGTGCTGCGGCCTGCGCTTCGCGTCGCGCTACGCCGCCGCGGCGTCGCTGGGCGTCGCCGAGGACGCGGCGCTGATCGACGCGCAGCGCGCGGCGAAGGTCCGCGGCGACGCTTTACTCGACGACGGCGACTTCGCGGCGGCCGCGGCGGCCTACGGCTCCGGCGTCCGCGACGCGGCGCACCCGTCGCTCTTCCTCGACCGGGCCCTGGCCCACGCGCGCGACGGCGACTACGCGCGCGCGGCCGCGGACTACGGCCGGTCGCTCGAGGGCCACCCGCGGTGCTGGCGGGCGCGGCTCGGCCGCGCGCGCTGCGACGGCGTCGTCGCCGCGCGCTTCCTGACGGCGCCGCGCAGTGCGACGACGGCCCTCGCGGCCCGCGGCCACGCCGGGCCGGACCGCGAGCGCCTCAACGGCCTCGCGAAGGCCCACGCGGCCGCGGCGCGCGCGGCCGACGACGCCGCGGCCGCGCTCCGCGCGCACCGGCGCGCGCCCCTCGTCGGCGGCGACACCTTCGGCGACGCCCTCGCCGCGGCCCTCGCGGCGTCCAGGGCCCTCGCCGCGGGCCTGGGCCTGCGCCGGGACCGGGAGTGGGACGCGGCGAAGATGCGCGCGCGCCGCGACGCGCACGGCGACGACGCGGACGACGGCGGCGCGTACCGCGCGCGCGTCGGGCCCGACAAGCTCGACGGCGACCGGGCGGCGCGCGAGGCGCGCCGCGCCAAGGTCGCGAACCACTACGAGGTCCTCGGTGTGCCGCGCGACGCGGACCTCGCGGCCATCACGAAGGCCTACAAGAAGAAGGCCCTCGAGACGCACCCGGACAAGAACCTCGACGACCCGGACGCCGAGGCCAAGTTCCTCAAGGTCCAGGAGGCCCGCGTCATCCTCTCGAACAAGGACGCCCGGGCCCTCTACGACCTCGAGCTCGGCGACGACGTCGACCCGGGGGGGTAAATTTTGCATTCAAGGTGCTGCATTGTTGCTGCTCGTCTCTTGCAAAAAATATTTGCGATGATGATGCGCAGCCCCTTGTGGGCTGTCGTCGTCGCGTGCCTGCGCCGGGCGTCGGCGGCGTGCGTGTCGGCGCCGGGCGCCACGGACGTGACGCTCGTGACGCAGGCGTCCGTCGACCGGCTCTGGGTCGTCGAGAAGCTCTGCGAGCGCTGGCACGGCCCCATGGCGCTGTCGATCATGTCCAACGGCAGCGAGCCGAGCGGCGCGCTCGAGGCGCGCGCGTCTGGCCTCATGGCGCTCTGCACGGACCGGCGCGTCGCCGTCGTCGTCCCGGCGCGGCCCTTCCCCTACCCCGTGAACCGGCTCCGGAACGTCGCGTGGGCGATGGCGACGACGAGCCACGTCTTCCTGCTGGACATCGACTTCTGGCCGAGCGTCGGCACGCGGCGGCGCATCATCGACGCCCTGCGCAGCGGCGTCCTCGACGCGCAGACGCGCGCGGCGCTCGTCGTGCCCGCGCTCGAGCTGCTCGTCGCGCACGCGGAGTCGACGAACCCGGCCAAGGTGTTGTCGCCCGCGGAGCTCGAGCGGCAGATCCCGTCGTCGAAGCTCGGGTTATTACGGTGCGTGGCCAACGGCGCGGGCGACGGCGCGGCGCCGGACTGGCGGCCCACGCGCGCGAACCACTGGGAGGACCCCGTGTCCGACGGCGCGCGGCGCCGGCGCCTCGGCGCGGCTCCGAAAAAACGGCCGAAGAAGAAGGTGGTCAAGCGCGTCAAGTTCCTGCCGACGCCGCGGCCGACAGCGCGGCCCACGCCGCGGCCGACCCTCGACGCGGCGACGCGGCGGCGCCACGCGGCGCTCCACAGCGCGCTCCACGCGATCCCCGAGCGGCTCCCGGGGCAGCAAAAGAGAGCGAAATTCCCAACTTCAAAGGCTCATATCTCGGCCGTTTTCCACTCGTTTCGGCTGATTTTTGGACGAGCGATCATCTCTCGGAACGGTCTCGAAGCGCGGATGCTTTTTCCGGAACACGCGCGCGCGGAACACTCACGTTGAAGCGACGTTGAATCACCCTTTTGCTGCCCAGGCGGCTCCAGAACACGGCCCACGAGAGCGAACCCAGCGATCTCCGGTGCAGCGCCTTCCACCACCACGGCACGACGCGCTTCCTCGACTGGCTCGCCCTGCCGGACGACGCGCCGCCCGCGCGGCTCGACTGCTTCCTGGGGAACCACTTCGAGCCCTTCGTCGTCGTGCGGCGCTGCGACGAGCCGACGGCGGTCAACGGCTCCTTCGCGACGCCGCGCTTCGACGAGCGCTTCGCGGGCTACGGCAAGAACAAGCTCGAGTGGATCGCGGCGCTGCGGGCCGCGGACTACGAGTTCCACACCGTCGCGGGCGCGTTCGCCGTCCACGTGCCCCACCTTTTATCTACTTCCAAGCGCGACTGGGACCGCTGGCGGTCCAAGGACCGCGCGGAGCGCAAGCGCGCGCGGCGCAACGCGACGGCCCTCGAGCCGCGCGACCGCCGCGCGCACAACAAGCACGTCGTCGACCGCCTCTTCCGGGACCACCTCCGCGCGCTGGGCCTCTACGACCGCGGCGACCACGGCCACTGGTTCCCGCCCGAGGACGACCGCGCCGCGCCGCGCGGGGCCCTCCAGGAGGACGACCTCGCGACGCCGCTCTGCGCCGTGGACCGGGCCCAGGTCCGCGCGCTCGAGGACTTCGAGCCCGGCCGCTTCGCCGCCGCCGCGCGCGCGTGCATCGGCGACCGCCGCCGCTGCGGCGCGCGCAACGAGTTCATCCGCGCGCACCGCGCGGCGTGGCGGACCATCGACGCGCGGACGCAGGCCGAGCCCTTCCTCGGCCGCCTCCGGCGCGCGCGCAAGGCCGACGAGGAGGCGCGGGAGGCGAACGACGCCGCCGACGCCGCGCTCCGCGCGAAGGAGCGGGTCCGCCGGCGGCCGCGGCCCGAGGCCGGCGTAATCTGAGTGGGCGAGTGGCATAAGCGGCGCGACGCGATGGCTGCGCGCGCCCCCCGGTTCTACCCGCGTCGACGGCGTTAGTGGCGCGGGCGGGACGCGATGGCGGCGTACATGGCGCGGAGCTTCGTCTTGAGGTCCGCGTCGACGGCCGGCGCGGCGAAGAGGACGCCCTTGGACAGCACGAGGTCCTTGGCGTAGGCGATCTTCGAGCCGTCGAGGGCCTCGAGGTCCGCGCCCGTCGCGCGGCAGAGCGCGTGGCCCGCCGCGACGTCCCACGCGTGCATGCCCGCGAAGGACGACGGGTACATGTGGGCGCTGCCGTCGGCGACGAGCGCGGCCTTGAGGCCCGCGGAGCCCATGGGGACGGCCTCGGCGTCGCGGCCCGCGAACTTGGCGACGAGCGGCGCGAAGCGCGGGTGCACCGGCGGCGACGCGGCGAACTTGAGCGGCCCCGCTTCGAGCGCGTTCGCGTCGAGGCGCGGCAGGGGCTCGGAGACGCCCGCGACGGTCCTGACGGCCGCGCGGGACCCGTCGGGCCGCACGACGCCCGTCCACGTCGCGCCCGCGTCGGGCCGGTGCACGACGCCGAGCACGGGCACGTCGCCGACGACGAGGCCGATGAGCACGCACCAGTCGCGCCGCGCGGCGTCGTCCTCCGGGAGCACGAAGTTCTTCGTGCCGTCGAGGGGGTCGACGTACCACGTCCGCTCGGCCGCCGCGTCCGCGTTCGCGCCCTCCTCGGACACGATCGAGTCGCCGGGGAACTCGCGCCGCAGGCCCTCGCAGATGAGCGCGTCCGCGCGCCGGTCCGCCTCCGTCACGGGGCCCTGGCCGCCGGCCTTCTCCGTCGTGTCGAGGCCGTGCGCCGCGCGGATGGCGACGATGGCCTCGCCCGCGCGCTCGGCGAGGTCCACGGCGACCGCGAGCTCGCGGTCCAGCGGCCGCTCGTCGTCGGCGGCGGCGACGAGGTTCGATGACAGCCAGCCGTCGACGGGGCTCAGGAGCTGGAGCCGCTGCTTCGTCCTGCCCTTGTCGACGATCTCCTGCTCCTTGCCCGCGGCCTCGGCGTAGGAGCCCTTGGGCAGAGTCGCGACGACGTCGCTGGCCAAGTCCGCGCCGCGGCGCACGATGGCGCCGGACTTGCCGACGATCATGAGGCGCTTGCCGGCCGACCACTGCATGACCATGAGCGCCAAATAGAGTATGAGTGCCACCTTCACACGCTCTTGACCCCGACTCGGCTGGCTGATGACGCCGCCGCGGGACGCCTGGTCTTTGACCTTGTGGAGGTTCGGCGAGCAAACTTCAAGATTTGCGAGTTGCCCGATCTCACAGCCGAGCACTCGATCGAGCCCCGAGATCGCGCTTTTGCTTGCTCTGTCCACTGTCCACTACTACCATGCCAGCCCCCATCGTCGGCCGCGCCATCCGCTGGGGCATCATGGGCAGCGGGCGCATCGCCAGCGACATGACGCGCGTGCTCACGCAGCTGCCCAACACGGAGGTCGTCGCCGCGGGCTCGCGGAGCGCCGAGACGGCGGAGCTCTTCGCGGGCCGCTTCGGCATCCCCACGGCCCACGGGTCCTACGCGGCGCTCGCCGCGGACGCGGACTGCGACGTCGTCTACGTCGCGACGCCGTCGATGCGCCACGTGCAGGACAGCATCATGTGCCTCGAGGGCGGTCGCGCGGTGCTCTGCGAGAAGGCCATGGCGCCGTCCGCCGCCGAGGCGACGCGCGTGCTCAACGTCGCGCGGGAGAAGGAGCTCTTCTTCCTCCACGGCGTCTGGAGCCGCTTCTTCCCCGCGATGGCCGCGATCCGCGACGCGATCCGGTCCGGCGCCATCGGCGACGTCGTCAGCGCGCACGCGTCCTTCGGCCAGGACGACGGCGCGGGCCAGGCGAGCGCGACGCTCGAGACGGGCATCTACTGCGCGCAGTTCCTCCAGTGGGCCATGGACGGCGACGCGCCGGAGTCCATCGAGGGCGTCGTCGCCGAGCTCCACAAGGAGAGCGGCCTCGACCAGCACGTCGCCGCGCTCCTCCGCTTCCCGGGGAACCGCGTCGGCACGCTCGAGTGCAGCCTCAAGAACCCGACGGCGCGCGTCGGCGTCGTCAACGGCACCAAGGGCGTCATCCGCGTGCCCTTCCCGTTCTGGTGCCCGACGGAGTTCTCCCTCCAGCGCATGTCGGGCCTCGGGTCCCAGGACTTTGGGCCGGAGACGAAGCGGTCCTTCCCGCTGCCGGACATCGAGGGCGACTTCAACTACGTCAACTCGCAGGGCCTCGCCTACCAGGCCGAGGAGGTCAACCGCTGCCTCGCGGAGGGCCTGACGCAGACGCCCAAGTTCGACGCGCGCGAGTGCTTCTCCGTCATGCAGGTCCTCTCCGACATCCGCAACCGCGCGGGCGGCGACGAGGCCATCCAGGCCGCCAAGGACAAAAAGACGATCCAGGGCAGCGGCTACTCCTAGAGAGACGCCGGGGGCGCCGCGGCAGCCGGGGCCCGGATCAAGTAAGACAAAAGGACGATCCGAGTCCAGGGCAGCGGCTACTCCTAAAGGGCGACAACCACGCGCGTTCCGCCCGGGCCCGGATCAAGCCTACCGAGAGTTAGCGCGGCACGACGCAGGACCGGTACTCCGTGTATTCCCGCAGGCCGATTTCCCGGCCGCCCTCGCGGCCGAGGCCCGAGTGCTTGAAGCCGCCGAAGGGCAGCGTGTCGTGGCCGGCCATGTGCTGGTTGACGGCGACCGTGCCCGCCTCGAGGCGGTTCGCGACCTCGTAGCCGCGGTCGACGTCGCTCGTCCAGACGGACGCCGACAGCCCAAAGTCCGACGCGTTGCAGCGCCCGACGGCGTCGTCGACGTCGTCGTAGGAAACCACGGGCAGCGCGGGCCCGAACTGCTCCTCGTCGACGAGCCGGGCGCCGTCGGCGACGCCCGCGACGATCGTCGGCGCGTAGAAGAAGCCGTCTTCGCCCGCGTAGGCGTCGCCGCCGGCCGCGACGGCGCCGCCCGCCGCGACGGCGTCGTCCACGAGCGCGCGGACGCGGTCGCGCTGCGCCGCGTTGTTCAGCGGGCCGTACTGGACGCCCCGGGCGAGCCCGTCGCCGACGCGCGCCTTGGCCGCGAGCGCCGCGAGCCGGTCGACGAGCTCGTCGTGGCGCGACGCGTGCACGTAGGCGCGCTTCACGGCGACGCAGACCTGGCCGCTGTTGAGCATCGCGGCGCGGAAGATCGCCGGCGCGGCGGCCTCGAGGTCCGCGTCGGGCAGGACCAGGGCGGGGTCGTTGCCGCCGAGCTCGAGGACGACGCGCTTCAGGGCGGGCGCGGCCGCGGCGGCGATGGCCTTGCCCGTCGCCACGGACCCCGTGAAGGACACCGTCGCGACGTCCCGATGCGCCGCGAGCGCCGCGCCGAGCGCGTCGGACCCGGGCAGCACGTTGACGACGCCCGGGGGGAACGCGTCCCCGGCGATCGCCGCGAACATGGTCGTCGTCAGCGGCGTGTGCGGCGACGGCTTGAGGACGATCGTGTTCCCCGAGACGCAGGCCTCGAGCAGCTTGTTCTTCAGCATGAGCATGGGAAAATTCCAGGGCGTGATGGCCGCGACGACGCCGCGCGGCACGTCGTGGACCTCGTAGCGGTGCGTCGCCGACTCGTGCGTCGCGCGCGGCCGCAGGAGCGGCTCGTCTCTCCGGTAGGCGCCGCGGAAGCCGGCGACGCACGCGTCGATTTCGTGCTGGGCCGCGCGCAGCGGCTTGCCCTGCTCGCGCGTGAGCGCGTCGGCGAACTCGTCGCGCCGCGCCTCGAGGAGGGCCGCGGCTTCCGCGAACGCGTCGCAGCGCGCGGCCCAGGGCGCCGCCGCCCACGCCGGGAACGCGGCCCCCGCCGCGGCCACGGCGTCGTCGAGGTCGCTCTCCGACGCGTCGGGCACCCGCGCAAAGGCGGCGCCCGACGACGGGTCGACGACGTCGAAGGTCGCGCCGCGCTCGGCGCCGCGCAGCGCGCCGCCGATCAGGAGATTGCCGCAGGCGAAGGCTGGTGGCGTTTGAGCGGTCGCGCGCGCGAGCGGTTTCGTAGCCATCGCGCGCGCTGCACGAGCGCGCGCGAGTGGTTTCGCAGCCATCGTGCGACTGCTGGACGCGACGGCCGGCGCAACGGTCGCGCGCGCAAGCGCGCCCATCGTGCGCGCAGCACGCGAGAGACCTGCAGGGCCGCGCGAAGCATGCATCGATGCCATCAGCTCTTGAGCTCAGGGCTGCAAGTTTCCCTCAACGAGACCTGCGCCGAACGAAGCTCCTCCCGACTCCCCCATCCGCACGGCCAAAATAACAGCGACCAAAATGTCTTCGAACAAAAAATGACAGGGGAACGGTTACGACGGAACACAGGGGGGGGGAGCGAGGGCGCGCGGCGACGCGGAGCTCGCGGCCGCGCGATCGCCGGGCTAGCCGGAGGCTTGGCTGCCGCCCGACTGCGACGCCTTGGCGGCCGCCGTGACGATGCCGCCTTTCGCCTCCGAAAGCTGCGCGGGGGCGGGGGCGTCCGGGCGCGCGGCGCGCGGCGCGCGCGGCGGACGCGGGCGCGCGCCTTCGCGGACAGCGAGTCCAGGTAGGCCTGGCTCGCGCTGGCGATCTTCGCCGTGTAGCGATTCACGAGCCATCGCGCGACCGGGTAGAGGAACAGGATCAGGTAGAAGGCCATGATGAGCGTCCGCGCCTCTTGCTTCATGAGATAATCGAAGTCGATCTCCGTCTCGCCGCTTCGCACGAGGGGCAGCCCCAGGACGAACAGCCAGAGCGGGGCGCATCGCGCGGCCATGGTTCCCGCCGAGCCACGTCGGGTCCTCGGACCGCCGGCGGACCTGGCCAGCGGCCTTGGGCAGCGTCGAGTTGGGGTAAATGAAACAACTTGCACATATCCATTTGCTTGCGGGAGAGGGTGGCAGGCAGCCCGAGGTGCGCGCGCGGGGCCGCGCTGCCCCTCGCGATCCGCTGGAGCCATGTCCAACGGCATGCTCGAGGGCGTGGCCGTCGTCGAGGCGGACCGCTGGGGCGACGCGATGCAGACGTGGTCCTTCCCGGAGCTCGGCGGCGTGCCGCTCGACAGGTGCGGCCTCGGCGAGGCGGACGATTCCTACGGCGTGCTGCGCTTCTGGAGCGTGGGGCCCCTGTGCTACTACTGCTTCCCGGAGAAGGTCGGCAAGGCCCTCGAGTTCACGAACGCCGCGGCCTTTGCGCTCGTCTTCTCGTCGCGCGAGCGGCACCCGGCGCGCGCGCTCGCGCTCATGCGCGAGTGCCTCGTGCCCGCCTACCGCGAGGGCGGGCCCATGAAGCTGCTCCAGGCCTTCCTCACGCTGCAGACGTCCGGCGCGTCGCCGGGCGGCGCGACGAACTACCTCGCCTTCGCCGCGGACAAGGGCGGCGCGCCGCCGGGCACGACGGAGCTCGTCGTCGAGGCGCCCGACGACGACGACGCGTAGGGCGGGCGAACTAAAGGCGGCCGTCGGCGCTACGATGTTTCGCCGGAGGGTTACGCTACATTAGCGCTTGGAGTGCACTCACGTGGTTCAACATTAGACGTTTACCTCACGGCTTGGATGATTGTCATGGGGGAATGCTCGATGAAAAATCGTTCGCGGCAGCCACGAAGGCGGCAGCCGCCAAGGTGAACGCTTTTTTGTCTCAATGCTCGACGGAAGAATGATGTTGCTCGTCGTCGTCGGGCTCGTGGTCGGGTCCGCGGCGGCCGCCGGGGGCGACCCGGTCCACCGGCACCCCGGCCTCGCATCCTCCGCGCGGCTCCACGGCGAGGCGCGGAAGCTCCGGCGCGACCTCGAGCCCGCACTGCCCCCGGCCGCGCGCGAGGCCGTCGACGGCGCCCTCGCGAAGCACGCGTCGGCCATGGCGGCCGTCGACGCCGCGGCGGCGCGCGGCGACGAGGCCGGCGCGAGGGTGCTTTTGGGCACCCTCAAGAAGAGCGAGGGCCGCGCGAAGAGCCTCTTCGACGCCGCGCTCGGCGACGACGCGGCCGCGCTCGCGGCCGCGCTCGCGGGCGCGGACGCGCGCTCCGCGCTCCGCGCGACGCCCGCTTCGCTAGAGGCGGCCACGGGCATCGCCGCGGCGGAGCCCGTCTGGGGCGCGCCGTTTCGCGAGATGGCCGCGCTCTTCGACGGCGAGCCCCCGCTCGAGGCCCTGGGCGTGAGCGCCAAGTTCCGCGCGGACGGGTCGTCGTCCGTGGCGCGCTACCACGTCTTCCTCCAGCTGCCCTGCCCGAAGTGGGCCCTGCCGCGGGCCGAAGCCCTGAGCGCCGCGCGGCGGACCGCGGCCGCGCTGGACGCGCCGCCGCTCGTCGGCGCGTGGCTCGACGCGGTCGGCGCCGCGGCCGGCGAGCTGCCCGTCTTCGGGTTCGGCGTCGACAGGGACGCCGGCGCCGCCAAGGTCTACGTCATGAGCCAGCCGGCGATGGGGCGGCCCATGCCCGTCTTGCCGCTCGAGACGGGCGCCGCGCCGCGCGCGGCGGACGCCGCGCTCCCCCGCGCGAGGCCCACGGCCGGCGGGTCCGAGGCGCCGCGCATGCTCAGCCTCGAGTGGGTCCTCGGGTCCTCCGACGTCGCCCTGCGCCAGTACTTCGTCGAGGACCTTGGCGACGACGGCGTCCGCGCGAGCCGCGACCGCTTCGACTCGCTCGGCGACGCGGCGCTCGCGGACGCCTTGGACGACCTCGCGCGCGTCTACCGCGGCGCGACCGAGGACATCGCCGTGACGCCGTTCTACGACCCGGCGCGCGTCGGGCCCGCGGCGCCGCGCGCGGCCGCCGCGCGCGCCAAGGTCGGCCTCCGCCTCGATTCGGCGCCGCGCGACGGCGCGGCGGAGGTCGCGGCCGCGCTCGCGGCCGCGCGCGTCGACGGCGCCGCGGCGGCGGCCTGGACCGCGGCGTCTGCAAACATTTCCCACGCCGTGAGCAACGTCCAGGTCGGCCGCGGCTTCGTCACGCTCTACCGGCACCCGTCGGAGTTCGGCCGCGTCGACGTCGCCGCGCACGCGCAGCTCTCGCGCGGGACCGCGGCCCGGCGCCGGCGCCTCGGGGCCCCGGGCAGCACCGCCTCCCCCCTCATGGACGCGGGCCACTACGACGACGATTTCGCCAACATGTCCGCGTGCGAGGACGCGCGCGTCCAGTACCACGACCGCATGCTTTGGGGCAGCGACGATTACGGCTGCAAGGACGCCGTCAACGCGCTCGCGTCCAAGACGGACGAGTGCCCGGCCGCGTGCGGCCAGGTCATCGGCGACCTCATGGCCGCCTGCGGCGACTGCGGGGAACAGACGGTCACCTGCGACGAGAACATCGCCGACGACTTCCACCACGGCCAGGTCAAGTACAGGGTCGTCTACGGGTCCATCTTCTTCTACGACCCCTGGCACCTCCACGGCCTCGTCGACGACGGCAACGGCTACGGCTACGGCTACGGCTACGGCTACGGCTACGGGTTGTCCGAGGCCGCCCAGGCCGCGGCGGCGGCGTGGAACGCCGAGATCGAGATGGAAGCCCGCGCTGTGCGCGCGTCCTCCGGCTACGGCTACGACACCTGGGAGCCGTCCGCCTTCCCGACGCCTATGCCTACGCCTCTGCCTACGCTTATGCTTACGGACAACTCGACGGGCGTCAATCCGGAGCCCTCGGTCGTTCCTACCTCCTCGCCGTCCTCGGTGTCCTACGCCTGGCTGGACGACTGGTCCGTCTCCGCGTGCCGCGAGGAGTTGAAGACGTACGTCGAAAGCAGCGTCCGCGACCTGGACTCCGAGAACCGCATCTTCGACGGTCCCGAGTTCGAGTGGTCGCATGATGATTCTATTACGTACGAGAACGGCACCGCGGTGTACGCCGCGGAGGTCAAAGTCAAGGCGATGCTCGGCTACGCGTGCCTGCCGGGCCTCGACACCAAGGACGACGGCGCCATGTTCGTCGACGAGGCCTGCGTGAACGCGACGTTCCTCGACGAGATCGCCGAGCGCGTCCGGGCGGGCGTCGAGGCCTTCGCCAACGCCACGGTGACCTGCGCGCTCCACGAGTACTCGTGGTCCGACGCCGCGGACGACGCCTACGCGGTGAACGCCGGCGAGTCCTGGGGCACGATCAAGCACGCGGACCTGCCGCCGGGCAAGGTCTGGCGCGAGCCCTACGGCGACGGGACGATGAACGTCGACATCGGCCTCTGGGCGCCGGAGGGCTGCCGCTACCCGTACTACGCCTACGACGACCTCAAGGACGGCTCGCTCTGCGACGAGTGCTCGTCGCTCGCCGACGCCGTCGCGGGGACGGCGATCTGGGGCGGCGTCTGCTTCGACGGCGACGAGTCGGACCTCGTCGACCAGACGTGCAGCTGCGCGTGCAGGGACCTCATCGAATCCATCCAGGACGCGTGCGACGACGGCACGTGCACGACGACGGAGAACGTCTACGCCGAGGCGCCCGACTGCCGCGCGTGCGAGGCCTACGACGCCGAGAGCTACCTCGGCGACCTCGAGGACGGCACGATCTGGAGCAAGGGCGACACGTGCGTCGAGGATACTTACGACTACTACAGCGGCATGACCGCGACGGTCCTCGCGGACGAGTGCTACGAGGCCCTGGCCTCGCCCCTCGACAACACCTGGGAGCCGTCCGCCTTCCCGACGCCTATGCCTACGCCTCTGCCTACGCTTATCGTGAAGTTCTCCGACGGCGCGTTCGAGTGGGCCGGCATCTTCGAGATGGAGCACGCGGACCACACGTGGATCGCCCAGAAGGTCGACGGCGCGTACGCCGACGAGACCATGACGTTCGTCGCGCTCGAGGCCGACTCGTGCGACGAGGCCGGCCTCGAGGGCGCCGAGGCCGCCCTCACCGGCGACTGCGCCGACCTCGCCAACGGCGGCACCATCGAGATCGGCACCTGCTACACCCTCATCTTCGACCAGTCCGTCTCGACCAGCACGTGGACCATCGAGGTCGACCACCGCCGCCGCCTCGAGGACCACGACCACTCCTGCGTCGCCATTTTCACGCAGCACGTGCCCATCGAGTTCGAGGAGGACACGCACTACCTCCAGCTCGACGGCGAGGACGTCGAGCCCATCGCCGAGGAGGGCGCCGACGGCCACGCGCCGACCGACGGCCCTACGACGCTGCTCGGACCGTCGCCGTCGGCGGGGCCGTCCTACGGCCCCACGACGGCATCGTGGCCGACCCAGGTCCCCACGACGCCCACGCCCGCCGTCCACAGACCCGACTCCCGGGCCGACGCCCGAGCCGTCCGCGGAGCCCACGCCCGAACCGACCCCGGAGCCCACGCTCGAGCCGTCGCCGGAGCCCACGCCCGAGCCGACCCCGGAGCCCACGCTCGAGCCGTCGCCGGAGCCGACGCCCGAGCCGACGCCCGCGCCGACGCCGGAGCCGACGCCGCGGCCGTCGACGGTTCCCACGCCGGAGCCGACCTCGCCCTCCCTCCAGATCACCAGCGTCGGCGTCTTTTCCACCTGCGTCTCAAACGTCGAGTGCGCCATCGTCTTGACCTACGTCGGCCGTTCCGACGCCTGCCGGGTGCTCGACGTCGTCGTGGCCGACGTCGACGGGAACGTCATCGGCGAGGCGACGACGCGCAACGACGGCTTCCAGACGAAAGTGACCTCGGGCGACGCCGAGGTCAACGAGTACACGATGACGCTGCGCTGCGCGGACGACGCCGCCGTGGCGGACTCCTTTAGGTTCTGGGTGTCGTACACGCCCGCGCCGACGTCGATGCCGACGGACCCGCCGCCGACGCCGTGGCCGACGCCGGACTGCGACGATGGGACGCTCCGGACGCTGGAATGCCTCGACGACGGCACGTTGCTGTACGGCCCGAGCTGCGACGCCTGCGACGACTGCGACACGATGGATATCTCGGGGTACGGCTACAGCTGCGAGCCGGGCACGACGACGTACTACCACGACGCGGACCTGGACGGTGAAATCGACGCCGTCTCGGAATTCGCCCCCTGCTGGTGCGAGGCGGGCGACTCCACGTTCGCGCCCACGGTCGAGACGTGCGAAGACAGCGCGTCCTGGTACTGGAAGAAGTCCAAGTACGACTGCGACTTCGTCGCGAAGAAGTCGAAGCGGTGCAAGAACAAGTACACGGACTTCGACGACGTCTCGAGCATCGACGCCTGCCCCGTCGCCTGCGGCGAATGCGAGTCCCCGTGCGAAGACAGCGCGTCCTGGTACTGGAAGAAGTCGAAATACGACTGCGACTACGTCGCGAAGAAGTCGAAGCGGTGCAAGAGCAAGTACGCGGACGAGGGCGGCGTCTCCAGCTTCGACGCCTGCCCGATCGCCTGCGGCCAGTGCGAGGCCCCGTGCGAAGACAGCACGTCCTGGTACTGGAAGAAATCCAAGTACGACTGCGCGTGGGTCGAGAAGAAGATCGCCAAGCGGCGCAAGGCCAAGATTCGCGACGACGACGACGTCAAAGCGAAGGAGGCCTGTCCTGTGGCGTGCCAGGAGTGTTAAGTTGTTTTGTTGTCTAAGAGTCGCCGGGCTTCAACGTCGCAGCTTGAGGCCGTATTGCATCCGCATCGCTGGGCCACCACGATGTTTGCTGCCGCCGCCCTCGCCCGCCGCGCGCCCACGGCGCTGCTGCGCCGGTCGGTCGCGCCGCCGCTCGCGGCCGCGCCGGCGGCGTGGGCCGGCCTGGCCGGGGCCGGCCTGCCCTGGGGCGCCCTCGCGGGCGCGCGGCCGTCGAGCGGCGAGGCCGTGCGGCTGAACACGCTGCGGCCCGCGCCGGGGTCGACGAAGCAGGCGAAACGCGTCGGGCGGGGCATCGGGTCGGGCCTGGGGAAGACGGCGGGCCGGGGCCACAAGGGCACGCGGAGCCGGAGCGGCGGCAGCGTCCGCGTGGGCTTCGAGGGCGGGCAGACGCCGCTGCACAAGCTGCTGCCCAAGGTCGGCTTCCGGCCGCCGCGGCGCGAGGCCCTGGACCCGCTCAACGTCGGCGCCGTCCAGCTCTGGATCGACATGGGCCGCCTCGCGTGCGGCGAGCGGGAGCTCCTGACGACGCGCGACCTCGTCGAGTGCGGCCTCGTGTCCAAGAAGACCCGGGGCGTCAAGCTCCTCGGCGGCGACGGTTCCGCGCTCACGGCCAGGGTGCACCTCGAGGTGAGCCGCGCGTCGCGGGGCGCCATCGCGGCCGTCGAGGCCGCGGGCGGCACGGTGACGTGCGCGCACTACAACCGCCTGGCCATGCGGGCGCTGCTCAAGCCCCACAAGTTCGCCGACCGGGGCCTCCCGAAGCGCGCGCGGCCGCCGCCGCGCCTCATGCGCTACTACGTCGACGACGCGCTCCGCGGCGAGTACGCGCCCGCCGTCCAGCTCCGCAACCGCGAGCTCGGGCTCGCGAAGCGCGGCGCCGCGGCGCCGACGGCGCTCTAATTTTCGCACGCCCACCGGGTCCCTCGGCGCGCCCTCTTAGAGCCTCGCGAGCCGCGCCTCGACGTCCGCGAGGTCCGCGCGGAGCTCCGCCGCGCGGCCGAGCTTCTCCGCCTGCTCGGCGTTCGGCGCGAGGCCGCCGTTGACCTTGGCCTGGAGCTCCGACACCGACTTGAGCTTCTTCTTGAGGGCCTTGGCCCGCTTCGCGAGGTCGTCCTCGGGCGCGGCGGCCGCGGCAGGCGCGGCGGCCGCGACCGGCGCGGCGGCCGCGGGCGCGGTCGCCGCGGCCTCGAGGGCCTTCTCCTTGGCGGCCTTGCGCGCGGCGTTCTTCTTCGCCGATTTCGACAGGGGCTTGGCCGCGGCGCCGCCGGCCGCGGGCGCGGAGCCCGGCGGCGGCGCGCCCGGCCGCCGCGGCGCGGGCGCGTTGCGGCTCGCGCGCGTCTCGTACTTCTCGACCTCGTCCTGGGGCACGTAGGACTTCCAGGTGCCGTCCGGCAGCTGCTCCGCGCGCACGCGCCGGTCCTTGCGCCGCGTGCCGTCGGGCCGCTTCGTGCCAGGGATGACGACGCACTTGTCCGGGTAGACGGGCCGCCCGTTCTGGTCAACGCCGATGGCAGTGTTCGCGTCGCGCGGCGCCTCGCGCCGCTGCTCGTGCCACCCGTCGCCGGCGAGGGCGCTCATTGCTTGGTTTGTAGCGGCAACTCAAGGCCTTGAAGAGCGGATTGAAGCGCCGGCGAGGGCGCTCATTGCTTGGTTTGTAGCGGGACTCAAGGCCTTGAAGAGCGGCTTGAAGTAGTGCTCGCTGAAGCGTGGCAAAAAAACATTGGCCTCTCAGGCTCTCGAGGCCTCTACGGCGCACTTTACTTAAGCCTCCCTCGACGTCGGCGCGCAGAGTCGAAAAACGCTGATTGTGCGTGTCGCTTTTCGTCTTTAAAAAGGAGCGCGCTCGCGAGCTAGACCTCGCCCGCGAGGAGCGGCGTCGCGAGCGCGGCGGCCGGCGCCGGCGCGACGGTGACGCCGTCGACGCAGTCCGCGCACTCCGGGTGGACGTGCGCGTCGAGCTGCATGAAGGCGATGATGAGGAGCGCGTCGGTCCACTCGGCGAGGGCCGGCAGGCTCGGGAGGACGCCGCCGAGGCCCGCGGCCGCGGCCGGGGGCGCGAGGGCGCGGCGCGCGGCGCCGACGAGGAGCGCGGCGACGCCGACGGCGTCGCGGGCCGCGTGCCAGGCCGCGCGGCCCTCGCGGACGCCGCCCTGGAGCCGGTCGCCGAGGAGCGTGAGGGCGATGAAGGCGTCGTAGCCGACGAAGTAGAGCAGCGCGCCGAAGACGTGGAGCGGGAAGTCCTCGGACTCGTCGCAGACGCCGACGATGGACAGGCCGAACATGGCCGCGAGCGCGATGGCCAGCCCCCGGCGCCGGAGCGTGTACGTCGGCGGCGTCGCCATGTAGAACGACGCGTGCGCGACGTAGCCGAAGTGCGTCCCGAGGACGACGGCCCAGCGCGAGAGCCAGTTGCCCGGAATGGGCGCCCACATGTCCGAGATGAACCACAAAACGCCCGGCTCCACGGGCAGGTAGCCGACCCAGAGCCCGAGGACCGCGGACCCCGCGAGCGTGCCGAGGTACAGCGCCGCGCAGGCGCGCGCGCACGTCCGCCCCGAGAGGCCCCAGACGAGGTCCGCGTCGTCCGAGGACGTCATGCCGAGGCGCCAGCCCGCGCGGCCGCAGGTACAACGCACCTGGAGCACGGTCCACGCGCAGACGAGGCCGACGTTCGACCACTCGAACACCGCGAGGGCCCAGTTCGGCGTGACGTCGAGGCCGGGCGGCGCGGCGCGCAGCGCCGTGCAGACGCACGACGCGACCGCGAGGCCGACGAGGCCGGGCCGCTCGCGGAGGGACACGACGAGCATCTTCACGTCGTAGAGCACGAAGAACGTCACGGCGAAGGCGCTGTGCACGGGGTCGTAGCCCTCGCAGTCCGGGTTCGCGGAATCGCAGATCGACCCGACCCAGCTCAGGCAGAAGACGCCGCCGACGCCGAGCGCGAGCGACGCCCAGCGCCAGGCCTTGCCGTCGCCGGACGTGAAGAACATCATGACCTGGACGACGTAGAAGAGCGCGCAGGCGTTGCCGAGCACCCAGCGGGAGACGTACGTCCCGGGCGCGCGGTCCCACGTGTTCGAAATGCACGGCAGGAACGCGGGCCCCTCGCCCTTGGCGAGGTAGATGGCGTAGGTCGTCAGGATCATGCCCATGACCGACAGGGCCGTCGCGGACGCGTAGGCGAGCGCCGAGGCCTCGAGCGCCGGCGGCGGCGCGGCGGCGACCTTCTTCCGACGGCCGTCCGTCGCTTTCGAATTTCCGCGCGCGGCGGCCTCCGCGAGCGCCTTGGCCGCGCGCGCCTTGGCCTCGGCCGCGCGCGTCTCCTCGGCCGCACGCGCCGTGGCGGCCGCGCGCGCCGCGGCGGCCGCGCGCGCCGCGGCGGCCGCGTCCACGGCCGGGTCCTCGGGTAGATAGCCGTCGCGCGCGGCTTGGTCGCAGACCTCTTTGTACTTGAACGCCGCGCGCGCATGGGCCTTGGAGTCGCACGCCCTCTCCGCATCCACCATCTCCGCTCTCGCGGCGGCGAGGTCCGCGAGGACCTGGGGAGGGATCTTTGCCGTTGCGGCCTCCATGGCCGCCGCGAACTTCGCGAGGACCTCGGGATACATCGCGTCGTGCTTCTTGTAGGTAACGCCATCGATTGTTATGTCACTGTCGTCGATTTGATTCTGCTGCTTGCGCCACATGTCCTCTTCGCTGGGCCCATCGCAGGGTTCGTCAGAGCGCAGAGCCATCTTGAAAGTCGACGCGGCCAATGAAGCGCCGAAGTAATTTGCGGCCGGCAAAGGGGCTTGTTGAACATCAACTTGAACAGCTTAGACCGCACTCGACACCGTCGAGAGCCGCCCCAGCCGCGCTCGACACCGTCCAGAGCCGCCCCAGCCACGGTGATCAAAATCAAAAAAGACAGGCTTATCATCGAGGCTACAGGACCGCGGCGGAGATGCCCGGGAGGCCCGCGGAGAGGGAAAACCCGGCCGTGAAGCCGTAGCAGGCGCCGGAGATGAAGGAGACGGCCTCGCACTTCGTCGAGAGGTGGCACATCTGGCAGCAGGCGGCCTCGTCGGCGACGGTCGTGATGAACGCGTTGACGCCGTCGAGCCCCGTGTCGGCCTTCCAGGCGCACGTCGACGGCGTCGGGCCCGGGGGCGTCGAGCACTGCGCGTGGCACGACGAGTAATCCGCGTAGGCCCCAAAGGGCGCCTCGACGCACTGGCCGCTGGAGCAGGCGTACTTCGTCGCGGGGCTCGCGCAGGACGCTTCGCAGGACTGGTAGTCGGCGAAGCTGCCGGCGGCATTCTCCACGCACTGGCCGTTGGAGCAGGCGTACTTCGTCGAGGGTTCGGGCGAGCCGCAGGACGATTCGCAGTCGGCCTTGGCCCAGAAGGCGCCGCCGGGGGCGAGCGCGCAGGTCTTCGTCGCGGCGTCGCAGGCGTACTTCATGACCGACGGCCCGGGCGAGCCGCAGGCCGCCTCGCACGAGGCGACGTCCGCGTAGGCGCCCGACGCGCTCTCGACGCACTGGTCGTTCGCGCAGGCGTACTTCTTCGTCGTCGGCGCCGAGCCGCAGTAGCCGTCGCAGGACGCCTTGTCGTGGAAGTAGCCGTAGGGGTTCTCGTAGCACGTGCCGTACCAGCAGCCCCACTTGGACGCGCTCGGGGTTTGGCCGCACGACTTTGCGCAGTCGGCCTCCGTCGCGTACTGGCCCCGGGCCGAGGGCACGCACTGGTTGTTCGCGCACGCGTACTTGGTCGACCCGGAGCCCGTCAGGCGCGCGCCCTTGGCGTACGTCGCGCCGCTGCCGAGGCCGAGCATGTTCTTGTTGCGGACGACGCGGAAGTAGCCGTTCTCGCCCCAGCTCGACGCCCAGGAGTTCTTCACCTTCCAGTAATCGACGCCGTTCTCCGTGCCGTAGCCGACGAGCAATACGGCGTGGTCCTGCCGACTCCCGCATTGGTAGTTGTCGATGATGCCGCCGCGGTACGACTGGAAGTTGCAGTCCTCCGCGTCGATGAGGATCGACAGGGGCCGCTGCTGGAGGGCGCTGAGCATGGCCTGTTCGCCCTGGGCGGCGACGGAGCCCTCGACGGTCATGACGGACGCGCAGGCGTTGCGCCGGCAGGAGCCCGTCTGCCCCGAGCCCGACGTGTACGCGTAGTCGGATTCCGCGCAGACGCCGCCGTTGGACGCGACGAAGCTCAGGGCCCCGGAGGGGAAGCCGCCGTTGCAGCCGTAGGACGAGCTGTCGCACTGGACGAGCTGCTCCTCGGAGAGCGACAAGAGCGAGCCCGTCGCGGCGAAGAGCGCGCCCTCCATCGCGCCCGTCGTCGAGAACGCCCAGCAGCTGCCGCACTGGCCCTGGTTCTTGACGCCCGTGACGGCGCCCTTGGCGACCCAGTCCAGCGCGCCGCCGGCGGCGAAGTCGAAGTCGGCGGGGATGACGTGCTGCTCCAGGCGGCTCGTGTTGCGCGCGCTGGTCGGAATGCCGCCGAGCATCGTGTCGCGGAACTGCTCGGGGGTGAGATCACTGAACTGGTTGTGGCCGACCTCGTAGGTGTGGCCGCCGGCGTTGTGCGCCGCGATGGCCTCGCTGCGCGCGAGGAAGGCGGTGCGGGCCGCCTGCTCCGCGGCGGGCGTGGCGTAGTGCTTCGCGTACTTCGCCTTCCAGGCCGCGAACTCGTCGGTGCTGGTGCTGCCCCGCAGGCGCACGACCTTGGCCGAGGCGGGCGCGAGGAGGGCGAGGGCGAGGACGACGGTGCTGGTGCTGCCACGCAGGCGCACGACCTTGGCCGAGGCGGGAGAGAGGAGGGCCAGGGCGAGGACGAAGGCGTTCATGCTTGCGTTTTGGAGCGGGGGTGGTGTGTTGGAGTGTGGGTTGCTTGCTTTTTGGAGTCTGGTCCATCTTCCAGCGCCGATTGGAGGGCTGCCCAATGGGAGCACTCGGCCAACGAGAGCAGCTTCGGTTGTTCTCTGCAGCACTTTGCCAGCAATGATGATGTTGCACCGACGCAGAGGCGTCAACAATGGGCACAGCTCGCGTTGCGATCGCACTCGTCGTCTGCCTCCTAGGACACACAACCGCGCTCTCACTCGCAACAGCAGCGTCGCCGCTGCAGGCGATCCAATCCTTGGACGCGAGCCTCCAGAGCCGACTCTACGCGCGCTACGGGTCGCTGGCCGCCGCGGGCGCCGCGGCGGAGGGCGTCGGCGTCTGGCGCGGGTGCTTCCTCAAGGGCCGCGTGCCGGACGACGCCTTCGACGGCGCCGCGTGGCCGGGCGACGCCGGCGCGCGGTCGCGGTGCCAGCGCGCCTTCGCGCCCGTCGCGCGTGTCGTCGGCCGCCACCCGCGGCTCGCGCGGCCGGCGCTGCGCGCGCTGGTCGAGGCCGCGTTAGAAGACGACGCGGGCGCGGAGGCCGCCGCGCTGCGGTCCGTCGTCGACGGCGTCGGCGCGCTCGAGGCCGTCTACGGCGACGGCGCGGACGCCGTCGTCGACGCGGTCCTCGAGGCCGAGGACCTCGCGGCGCTCCTGGGCACGGCGGCGTCGTCGGGCGCGGGCCGCTTCCAGCGCCGCGCGGCGGCCTTCGAGGCCATGCGGCGCTGCGCGGACCGCGTGGGCGACGTGGAGGAACTCGCGCCGCTCCCCTCGCTCGGCCGCCGCGCGACGGCGGCGTCGGGCGCCAGCAGGTACGGGAGCGACGCGCGGCGGAGCCGCGACGGCGCCCGGGGCGCGTGCGTCCGCGAGGCGCCGCCGGCGACGGAGGGCTTCGACGGCGAGACCCTCGGCCGCGACCTCGCCGCGCTCGCGCCGAGCCGCGCGGAACTCAAATCTTCAACCCGACTTCAATGTGAGTTTTGGACCCAAGTTCTTCCGCTCTGCTTCGAGAGCTCGACGAGAGCGATCGCTTCGTCCAAAAGTCAGCCGAATCGACTTCGATGTGGCCGAGCGAGAGCATTTCCAAGTTTGGTCGGGACGTCCCGAACCAGCCGTTGATTTCCACACAGGCGCCGAGCGAGCGCCTGCTCCTCTGCGACGGCTCGCCCCTCTTCCGCGCGCGCTACGGCGACCGGGCCCTGCGGTCGGCGGCGCCCCTGGGCCTCGACGACGGCGCGCGCGTGTCCCCCGCGCGCGCGAAGCGGCGGCTGCCGCGGGGCCGCCGGGGCCCGCTCGTCGTCTGCGTCGACACGTCCTACTCGATGACGGGCGCGCGCGAGGGGCTGGCCAAGGCCGTGGCCCTCGCGGCCGCGCGCGCGGCGAGCGACCAGCGGCGCGCCTGCGTCGTGCTCGCGTTCGGCGCGGGCGACGAGCTCGCGGAGCTCGAGCTGCCCGGGCCCGCGGACCCCGCGCGCGCGCCCGAGCGGCTCGACGGCCTCCTCGACTTCCTGGAGCGGGGCTTCGGCGGCGGCACGGACGTCATCTCGCCGCTGCGGCGCGCCGTCGCGCTCCTGCGGGCGCGGCCGGCCTTCGCGGACGCGGACGTGCTCCTCGTGTCCGACGGCGAGCTCATGGACCCGCCCGTCGACGCATCGACGGCCGCGGACCTCGACGCGCTGCGCAGGAGCCGCGGCCTGCGCGTCGCGGGGCTCCTCGTGGGCCGGAGCCGCCGCGGCGACGGCCTCGAGCACGCGGCGCCGGGGAGCCCCTTCGACGCGCTCTGCGACGGCGTCCACACGTTCCTCGCGGACCACGACGACCTGGCGCTGCTGATGGGCGCGTCCGCGCGGCCGCCGCCGTCGTCGACGGCGCTCGCCGCGGCCGCGCGGCGCCCGCGGCGCGGCGTCCGGCGCCGCGGCGGCCCGCTCTTCGCCGCCGCCGTCGACGCGGACGCGGCGGCCGTCGAGGCCGCGCCGCCCGCGTTCCCCGTGGCGCCCGCGGACCTCGAGGCGGCCGCGGCGCACCTCGAGCGGGGCCTCGTGGAGCGGTCCGCGGAGGCGCGGCTCGTGTTGCTCGGCGCCGTCGGCCGCGAGCACGTGCTCTTCGTGGGCCCGCCGGGCGTCGCCAAAAGCCTCCTGTGCCGGCGCCTCGGCGAGCTCTTCGGCGGGCCGTCCTTCGAGATCGCGCTGACGCGCTTCACGACGCCCGACGACGTCTTCGGGCCGTTGAGCCTCGCGGCGCTCAAAGACGACGCGTACCGCCGCGCGGCGGACGGCTTCGCCCAGGAGGCGCCGGCGGTCTTCTTCGACGAGATCTTCCGCGCGCGGTCGCTGCTGCCGGCGCTCCTCGCGCTCCTCAACGAGCGCGTCTGGCAGGACGGGCCGCGCCGCCGGCCCGCGGCGTTGGTGTCCGCCGTCGCCGCGGCGAACACGCTCGGCGGCGACGACGACGACGACGACGACGACGCGCTCTACGACCGCTTCCTGATCCGCCGCGAGGTCGCGCCCGTGTCCGACGCGGCCGTCGCCGACCTGCTCCTCGGCGACGACGTCGACGGGGCGTGCCCGCGGGCGTTCCTCGCGCCGCTGCTCGCCGTCCCGAAGCCGCCGCGGGCCGCGCTGCCGCGGTTCTTCGCGGAGCTTTTCGGCGACGCGCGCGCGTTCCTCCGCGACCGGGGCGACTACGTGAGCGACCGGCGGCTGCGCAAGTGCGCGGACCTCGTGCGCGTCGCCGCGCGCGCGAACGGCCGCGGCGCCGTCGGCCCCCTCGACGCGCTCCTCGCGGCGCACGTGCTCTGGCAGCGGCCCGAGAGCCGCCAGCCCCTCGAGGCCTGGCTCCTCGACCGGGTCGTGCCCGACGACGCGCCGACCTTGGCGACGCTCCTCCGCGCGGCGTCGTCGGCGGCGGAGGCGGCGGAGCTCGCGGCCGCCGTCGACGCGAGCCTCGGCGCCGTCCGCGACGCCGAGGCGGGCGTCGCCGGCGGCCAGCTCTTCCTCGCGCCCGACGCGCTCCTCGCGGCGCGCCAGGCGCTCGCGCCCCTCGCCGCGGGCCGCGCGGCCGCCCTCGAGCGCCTCGCGGACCGGGCGCGCGCCGTGGCCGAGGGCCGCGAGCTCCCGGACGACGACGACGAGTTCGCCGCCGCGCCGAGGGCCGCGCCGGCGCCCGCGCCGGGGGACGACGACGATTTCGACCTCACGATGTCCAAGAAGAAGGCGAAGAAGGAGCTCACGGCCGCGGAGTTCCGGAGATGGACCGCGGCGCGCGCGGACCTGAGGGGGTAAAGGTGCTACGACCATGCCGTGTGGCACGAGCCGCGGCTGCCCGAGATGCGAGGCTGCTCGCGCTGAGCCATGCGCGTTCGCCTACCCTGGGTCGTCGCGGCCGCCGTCGCGCGGGGGCTCGAGGTCCACATGGGCGACGGCGGTATCGTCTACTACGGCGGCGGCGACGACGACGCCGCGGCGCGCGACTTCTGCGCGGCCCACCGCGTCGTCGATGGGTCCTGCGCCGCGGAGCTCCGGCGCATGAGCCGCGAGCTCGACGCGCCGGAGGTCGACGCGCTCGACGCGCCCGCGGGCGCGTTCGGCGGCGCGTGTCCCAACGCCTCGTATACCCTGCCCCGGCACCGCCGCCGCGTCGCCCCGAGCGCCTCGGCGCTGGCGTCGTTCGGACGGAAGCTGGGAGCGCTGGCGCGGAACGCGAGCGCGCTCGAGATCGGCGGGCCCACGACGGCTATGGGCGGCCTGTACGCTCAGGAGTGGGCGTCCGTCGACGTCGTCAACTGGTCCGATCAAGCGGTTCGGAAAATCCAGGGCAACCGGTACGGAGGGGATCTCGTCGCGGCGACGGGCGGGGGGGCGACGAGCGGGTCCGCCTTCTACGTGGACGGCCGCCTCCTGGGGCAGCTGGTCGTCGGCGACGGCGGGCGCCTCGAGCACGTCGCCGACGGGTCCTACGACGTCGTCATGGCGTTCCACGTGCTCGAGCACTTCGCCGACCCGCTGCGGGCGCTCGCGGCGTGGCGTCGCGTCCTCAGGCCCGGCGGCTACTTCGTCGTGAGCGTGCCCTGGGCGGAGCAGACCTACGACAGGCGCGTGCCCGTGTCGACCATCTACGACCTCATCCTCGCGCGCGCGGACGCCGCGGACTCGTCGGACGACCCGGAGGTGCTCCGGCGCCTCGAGCATCGCGTCCGCGCCTACCACCGCCTCGTGGACCTCGACACGTGCCCCCACTGTTGCGACGACCTCGCGACGGCGCGGCGCCTCAAGGGCTACCACTGGCACGCGTGGGACCTCGCGCTGCTCCAGGAGGCCATGGCGTGCATCGGCGCCGCCGTCGAGTACCTCGACATCGTGGACAACTGGCACCAGCTGGTGATCGCGCGCGTGCCGGATTAAGCGCCGCACCGTGCGATCTCGTGCCGGGGTAACCCTGAAGACGCCCGTGAAGGAAAACATCGTTGTCGAGCCCATCAAACCGCCGGAGGATGGGGCTGCCCGACAGGCCTATACTGGCGCCGGCCCTGCGCGCGGGCGACACGGTGACGATCGCGTCGACGAAGACGCTGGCGAAGATGGCGAGCGACTGGGACCCGGCGGCCGGCGGGCCGTGCCGCGTGCTGCGCGTCGGCGCGGGCGGCGACGCGGCGTCGCCGCGCCTCGTGGACCGCAACGACCTCGTCCGGGGCGACGTTGTGGACCAGCGGCGCGTGGGCCCGCTGCTCTACCGCGCGTCCCTGGAGCTGAAATGCGAAACGCGGGCCGCGCCCGCCGTGTGCTTCGTGAGCTGCTACGGCCTCGTCGCCGAGCGCGCGGTGCTGCTGCACGGCGTCGAGCCGTCGACGGCGAGCGTGTCCGTCTACGCCCTCGGCGAGCGCGAGCTGCGCGCGCTCTGCGCGGCCGGCGGCGACGAACCCGCGGCGGCCCTGCTGGCGCGGTGGCTCGGGACGGAGGGGTCGGCCGCGACGCACAAGCGGCGGCTGTCGCGCGCGGACTGGACGACGGTGCTCCGCTGGGTCTGCGCGCGCCTGAGCCTCGCCGAGGAGGCCGGCGGCCTCGTGCTCGCCTGCGACGACCTCGCGGCGCCGCCCGCGCCGCCCGCGCCGGAGCCCGCGCCCGCGGCGGCCGCGCCCGACTTCGAGGACGTCGGCGACGTCGCGGTCGGCGCCTTCGCCGCCGAGGCCTACGACCGCATCTGCGCGGCGGCGGGCGACGCGCGGGGGCCGGCGACGCCGCCGCGCGAGCCGGACCTCGCGCGCGCGGCCGCGTCCACCGTCGGCGACTACGGCGCCGCGTGCGCCGCGGCGCTCTGCGACGCGGCGGTCTCGGACCTCGGCGCGCCGCCGGCGAGCCCGCGGGGCGTCGCCGACCGGGCCTACGCGGACGCGGTCGCCGCGGCGCTCGAGACCGTCGACCGCGACGAGGCCGCGCCCGTCGCGGAGCGGGGCTACGCGGACGTGCGCTCCGCGGCGCTCGCCGCCGTCGAGAGCGACGCCATCCGCCGGCGCAAGCGCCTCCCGCCCGCGGCGTCGCGGCCCCACGCGAAGCACCTCGTCATCGAGGCGAAGATCGACGCGCTCGAGCGCGAGATCGAGGCCAAGCTCCGAATCGCGCAGGGCGGCGACGCGGAGCCCGCGGCCTTGGCGTCGTAAGGTTGTGCGGAGGCGTTTGCCGCGGTCTTTGGCGTCTGTCGACGGCGTTCCGGACCGTGTTCCGGACCATGTCGCAGCGCCGCAGAGGCCATACGTCGACCCACTAGCTTGAGGTAGGAGATGCCGCTGATTGTCGCCACACTGCGGCAGCATGGCCGCGCTCTGTTGCATCACTTCAGCGATAACTCCTGCGCGTTAAGAGAGCGTCGCTCCAGCGAAGAGCATCTGTGCAATGCGCCTCGTCGCCTGGGCGCTCGCGCTTTCAGTATCATCGTCGCTGACGTCGAAGAAACCGTTCACGCACCGCGTCGTCGTCAAACACGTGCCAGCCTGGGTCCCGCACGAGCGGCTCCTCGGCGACGGCGCCTGGCAGCCAGAGGACGACGGCGGCCTCGCCTGCGACCTCACGACGCGAAACGCCTGCGACCTCGCCGCGCGGCTCCGCGGCGTCGGCCTCGGCGGCCGCAAGCTCGACGTCGTCGCGACGCCGAAGCTGCCGCGCGCGGCGGTCCGCGGCGCGCGGCTCGAGGACGCGCGGCGCCGGCGGACGACGAGCCCGGGCTTCGCGCGGCGCGGCGCCAGGCTCGACGCCGAGGGCAAGTTCAGCCTGACGCCCGAGCGGCTCGCGCTCGACGTCGGCGCGCGCGCGCGCGGGACATCGGTCGTCGACGCGACGTGCGGCTGCGGCGGCAACGCGATCGGCTTCGCGCGCGCGGGCTGCGCGGTCCTCGCCGTCGACGTCGACCGCCATCGCCTCGACCTCGCGCGGCACAACGCGAAGCTCTACGGCGTCGACATCACCTTCGCGTGCGGCGACGCGACGAAGCTGCCCGAGGACAGGTCCGCGGACGTCCTCTTCGTCGACCCGCCCTGGGGCGTCGACTGGAACAAGACGGCGACGCCGCTGAGCGCCCTGCCGCTCCTCGAGGACCTGCTGGCCCTCGCGCGGCGCCGGAGCTTCCGGCGGGTCCTGGCCAAGGTGCCGCCGTCCTTCGACCCGGCCACGGTGCCCGGGGCCGCGGCGGAGGCGATCTTCGGCCACGAGGCCGGCGACTACCGCCGCGTCAAGTTCGTCCTCCTCGACGTCGACGTCTCTCGCGATAGCACGTGAGTTTCTTTAGCGGGGCCGGGGGGCGGGCATGTGCAACAGACAGGGGTCGGGAGGCGCCGCTTCGCGCGCTCCGCGGACCGGGGGGGGGGGGCGCGCCCCTAGGGGAGCTCGAGCGCGGGCTTGACCGCCACCGTTTCGTAGCCGGGGACCGTGTCGTGGGGGTCGCCGACGGTGAGCTTGATGTAAAGCTTGTAGAGCTCGCAGCCGGCGCCGCAGGCGACGGCGCCGACGGCCGCGAGGACCCAGCCCCACCACTGGATCGAGTCCGTCGAGTTGCCGCTGAGGCCCGGGTCCCCCAAGGGGTAGAGGCCCATGACGGACGTGGAGAGGCCGGGCACCAGGAGCGCGCACCAAAGCGCGGCCTGGGCCGACGCGATGGCCTTGTTCATCGTCGGGTTCGAGAACGTCTTGACCCAGATGGGCTCCGTGAAGGACCGCGCGGTGTAGGCGCGGATGTTCTCGGCCCAGACCAGGGCGATGAACGCGACGGTGCGCGCCTTGCGGATGGCGAACTCCGTGCACTCGGCGAAGTTGTCGTCGTCGCCCTCGTCGCGAACTCCTCGTACTTNGTCGACGAGAACATGCCCGAGCCCCAGACGACGCAGGAGTCGCGCGTCTTGCGGTCGATGTTCTCCGTGAGGTAGGTGCCCGCGTAGGCGTGGAGCGCGACGACGTAGGTCGCCGTGATGCCCGCGGTCATGATCATGCCGTTCGCGATGATGCACTTCCACATCCAGGGCATGATGACGGGCTGGGCCTTGGGCCGCGGCTTCTTGTCCATGAGGCCCTTCTCCGGCGGCTCGACGCCCAAAGCGATGGCCGGCGGCAGGTCCGTGACGAGGACGAGGAAGAGGATCTGGAGCGGCTCGCGCATGATCGGCAGGCCCGAGACGACGCAGAGGAAGATCTGGAGGACCTCCGCGAAGTGGACGGACATGATGAAGGACACGAACTTCTCGATGCCACTGTAGATGCCGCGGCCCTTCTCGACGGCCTTGACGATGGAGCAGAAGTTGTCGTCCGTGAGGATCATGTCGGACGCGCCCTTGGCGACCTCCGTGCCCTCGAGGCCCATGGACACGCCGATGTCCGCCTCCTTGAGCGCGGGCGCGTCGTTGACGCCGTCGCCCGTCATGGCGCTCACGAAGCCCTGGCGCTGGAGCGACTTGACGATCTCGAGCTTGTCCTCGGGCTTGGCGCGCGCGAAGACGTTGACGCGCAGCGTGAGCGCGTCCATGGCCGGCTCGTCGAGGTAGTCGTCGCCGCCGCCGGGCCGCAGGCTGCCGCAGTCGACGGCGTCGCCGTCCTGGGACCCGTCGGCCGCGAGGATGCCGATGTTCCGCGCGATGGCCTGGGCCGTCTTGAGGTAGTCGCCCGTGATCATCACCGTGCGGACCGTCGCGGAGTTCGCCGTCGCGATCGCGGCCTTGACGCCCTGGCGCTCGGGGTCGATGGACGCGACGAGGCCGAGGAACGTGAGGCCCCCGCCGAGGATGGCGCTGAGCTTGTCCTCGACGTCCGCCTCGTCGTCGTAGGGCAGGGACCGCAGGGGCGCGCACGCGATCGCGAGGACCCGGAGCGCCTCGGAGCTCAGCGCGTCGACGGTGGCGTCGATCTTGGCGCGCGTCGCCGCGTCGAGGGCCCCCACGGAGCCGTCGGGGCGCAACGTCTTGGCGCAGGACTCGAGGACGTAGTTCGGCGCGCCCTTGACGTGCGCGACGTACGGCGACGCCAGACCGACGGCCTTGGGCGCGCCGTCGAGCGCGCCGCCGGCCGTCACCACGGCCATCATCTTGCGGCTCGAGGAGAAGGGGATCTCCGTCGCGCGCGGGAAGAGGGGCTCGAGGTCCGCGGCCCAGAGGCCGCACTTGGCCGCGGCGACGACGATCGGCGCCTCGGACGAGTTGCCCTTGGGCGTCCAGACCATCGCGCCGCTCTCGTCCTCGACGCGGTTCAGCGTCGTCGAGCAGCAGAGCACGGCCGACGCGAGGGCGGCGCGCACGTTCGCGTGCGCCCGGGCGTCGTCGCCCTCGGCGAACGCGAGGTCCGGCCCCGGCACGGCGCCGGCGACGCCGACGGAGCCGACGGTCGGGTCGAAGCCCCGGCCGGAGACGACGTAGTCCTCGCCGCCGAACAGGGCCTTGACGCAGCGCATCTTGCCCTCGGTCAGCGTGCCCGTCTTGTCCGTGCAGATGACGGACGCGGAGCCGAGCGTCTCGACGGCCGCGATCTTCCGCACGAGCACGTTCTCCTTGACCATGTCGCTGCAGCCCGTCGACAACGAGATGGTCACGGTGAGGGGCAGGCCCTCGGGGATGGCCGCGACGGTCAGCGTCACGGCGATGAGGATCATGTAGAGCCACGACGGCACGTTGCCCTCGGGGTCCGGCACCTCCATCGCCGCGCCGACGACGAAGACGATGACGCAGCAGGCGATGGCGAGGACGCCGATCTTCACGGCGAGCTTCTCGAGCTGGACCTGGAGCGGCGTCATGTTGCCCTTGGTGTCCGGGAGGCAGCCCGCGCCCTTGGCGCCCGCGTCGTCCGTGAGCAACGCCGCGATCTGGCCGACGCGCGTGCGCATGCCCGTGTGGACGACGAGGGCGCGGCAGTTGCCCGCCTTGACCGTGCACGACGAGAAGATCATCGTGTCCTCCGTGAGCTTCGCGGCCGCGCCGGGCTTCTTCGGCTTGACCTTGTCGGTCTTCGACACGTCCTCGGACTCGCCCGTGAGCAGCATCTCGTTGACCTTGAGGTCCGCGGCCCGGACGACGCGGCAGTCCGCGGGCACGACGTCGCCCGTGGCGAGGAGGATGACGTCGCCGACGACCAGTTGCGTCGAGTCGAGCTCGACCTCCTCGCCGTCGCGCACGGCGACGGACACGGGCGACGACAGCGCGTCGAGCGCCTCGAGGGCGCCGTTCGCCGCGTTCTCCGACGCCGCGGCGATGTAGGCGTTGAGGAAGACGATGATGAAGATGGCGATGGAGTCGACGTAGGACAGCGCGGAGCCGCGCCTCGCGGCGTCCGTCGCGTTGACGCAGGCCGACGCGACGCACGCGGCGATGAGGAGGAGCGTGATGATCTGGCTCAGCTGGATGAGGAAGAGGACGAAAAAGGTCACGCGCGGCGGCTTCTCGAGCTCGTTGGGGCCGTCCTCGGCCAGCTTCTCCGCCGCGAGCTCCGCGGGCAGGCCCCTCTCGAGGTCGGACCGGAGCTCGTGCGCGAGTTTAGCCTTGTCGATGTTGTGGAGCTCGGCCTGGTTCGTGAAGTCGAACTCGAGGGCGTCGTCGATGTTCGCGAGCTCGTTGAGCTTCTGGGCGGAAGCCTGGGAGAAGACGCGCTTCTTCGGGTCGTCGAAGCGGTGCTTGTGCCGCGCCTTGTCGAGCGCCTCGCGGACGGGCGTCGCGACCTCGGGCGGCGCCGCGAGGGCCTCCGTGTAGGAGATGCCCCGCGCGGGCTGCTTCCGCGGGTTCTCGACGTAGGCGACGAACTCGTCGCGCGTGAGCTCCGTCTTCAGGGGGTCGAAGTCCTTTTCCACGCTCGCGGACCGCGACCGCGACTTGCCCTCGAAGGACTGGCTCCGCGACCGGCCCCGCCGGAGCGAGTCCTTCTCGGACACGCCGTCCCCCATCTGCGCGTTTCGTTTCTGTGGGGATGTCGCCGCAATGCTCGACGACGCCGGGAGGTGCCTCTCGAGCGAAAGTGCAACTTTTTGGTTGCCTGCGGAGGGTCGGACAAAAAATACGCTCGAGACGACGACAGCGCCTCGCAGAGCTGCGCGAAGGCAGCCGCGTCGGCGCGGTTCCGCGTGCTCGTTGGCCGCGCCGCGCCGTCCGGGGCTCGGCCAAAGACCTTGCTCGAAGGCGCGCGTGAAGTTTTCGTCGCGCGACTCGCTGCCGCGGCGTTCTAACGTGCGCCGGAACGTCCGATTTGGTGGGTCGGTCGTCGAGGTGCGCGAGATCTCCACGGTGAGTCCTGACCCATTCGCGACAGCGACCTCCGGAAACGTCACGGGGAACCGAAAATCAAGTTTGGGTCAGGTTCGAGCGTACTCAGGACTGTGTGGCACACCCTCGCTCCAAGGCGTTCTCGCAGGCGCCAAACCGCTAGAGCGCGGCGTTTGGACCCACTGGCGTCGATCCGACCACTTCGAACGATATGGCCGGGCGGAGTGGTACATGGACGAGGCCTCCGCAGCCTCACGCGACCGCTGGGCTGGATGATCCGCGCCAACGCGCTCAAACCGGTCCTCTCCAAAGAGGCACTTTCGAGGCCACTGTGGCGCCATGAAATACGCGCGTGCGCTGGCCATACGGCCTGGACGGACTCCTACTACCACCAGCACCATCGCCTCAGCGTTGGATCCACGTCCTACGACCGTGATCCGCACGTCCGCGGTCTGCAGCGGGATCCACCGAGTTCCTCTATAGATCCGGAGAACTGCGCGGCGCATAGCGTGTCCATAGCGGTGGCCCTGGGGGTTTGGAGGGTCGTTCGGGACGCCCCAAACGGCGCGTCCAGCGACGGCAACAACGAAGAGCCAAGCCGGAGAAAAAAATTTCAGTACGTTTTCGGCGTCCGCGGACCGCGGCGTACTTCCTACGTATGTTCTCGGTTTTTCGGGCATAACTTTTCACTAGCGACGAGCTACCATGATCGCAGACAAGCTCCAACATCCCTGAAGGACGCTTTGGACGGGTGGCGACACGGGGCCACCGCGCGAGGTCGATAAAAAAAATCGATTTTCCAGCCCTCCGCAGGCAACCAAAAACTTGTTGCCTTTGGGCGAGCGGCGCGAAATGCGCGAAATTCACAGGGCGCGTGCACGCGACCTTCCCGCCTTCTTCTCCGCTCCTTTCTATATATCGGAACGAGCCGAGTTGCGGTAGCTCTCGGTGTCCGAAACGCGGGCGCGCGTTCGCGCGAGACGCGCGCAGCGACGCGGCGGTTTCGCGTATGGCGGCCGGAGTATTTCGGAGGGTAAATACCGGTATGGTAAAATACCGGTATATACCGGTATATACCCGGGCCCGTTTTCCCATACCGGGTATTTCGGTTTTGGGCATCCATATCCCGTAGACGGGTACGGCGCGGCTGCAGGGGCTCGGCCGCGACGAGTCGCGCCACACGCAGATCAGCATCAACGGAAACGACGCGAATGACATCCTTGACGGCAACGGTAACGACACCATCACGATCATCGGAAACGAAGCGTCCTACGTCCACGGTGGACACGGCGACGACACCATCATCATCAGCGGAGACGGCTCATATTACGTTTTCGGTGGTCCTGATCACGACTCGTGCTCGATGATCGGGGAGGCTCTCTACGCAGATGATTGCGAGGGCGAGGCTAACGTCGACACCGGCGTGAGAGCTCTCTACGACATCAAGGTCGAGGACGACGACGAAGCGAACGAGATCAACGGCACGATCACCTCGGCCGATCCCGCGGCCGTCTCCGTCGAAGGCCTCGAGAACGTCACTTGCCTGAGCATCGACGCGCCCGCGAACTACGCCACCTTCGCCTAACCGGCGACCTCGAGTCATCCGCGGTCCGGCCGCACGGTGCCGCCGCGGGCCCATGCCCCGCGGCAGACGGCGCCGCGGGCCGCGGACCGGAGGGGGCGCGTCGGACGGCGCCGCGGGCCCATGCCCCGCGGCGAGCCGCAGACGCGCCGCTCCCTACCCCCCCCATCCCCTCCCCCTTTGAGAGATTTATCCCCCGGGGCTCCCGACGCCGCGTTCAGCGCGACGTCGCTGCCCCACGCCAACGGCCTCGCCAAGCCGCCGCGGCGCTCCACCACCGCGGACCGAGCAAAACTCGCGCCCGCCGCCGATCGAGGTAACACTACGATTCGTTGCTCGACAAGCGGCAGCGCTTGCGTCGGTTGAACATGAGAAGCTCCCCCCGTGCATCGCGAGGCCACGCGTGAGCCTTCGGCGAGGCGCGTCCGCCGCGCGCCATCCCCGGCGCGGCGCGCCTCCGTTCCCGCCCGCGCCTCGGTACCCCACTCGGGGGCCTGACGCGCGAAGAAACGAAGCTAATAGAACGGAACCCAGCTCCGGTTCGCCCAACGCGGGCGGCTCGACGGCCGAGCGCGCGCCCATCGACGCCGCGTCGACCCGCGCTGGCCGAGCGGAAGGCCGCAGAACAACCATCGACGCGCCAAGCGCCGCCGCCGCCTCGAGACCGAGCGCCGCCGCAGCCGGCCTCGACGCGCCCGCGCCGATGAGCACGACCGCCACCGATGGCACCGTGGAGATCACGATGACGCACGCCGTGACCGGCGAGGCGGCGTCGAGCTGGAAGCACAAGGCGGGCCGGCGCGAGGGCCCGGAGCACTACCGCTTCGGCGACCTGACGAAGACGCTCGTCCACAAGGTCGCGGGCCCCGCGGAGCCCGCGCCCGACGACCGGTCGCCGGAGCTCGCCGTCACGTCCGTCAAGTGCCGCGTCCGCGTGCCGTGGGCGCAGCGCCTCTGGGACGACGCGCCGCTGTGCCGAAAGCTCCGCGAGCTCGGCCTGGGCCGCGCCGAGGCCGGCGGCGCCGTCGAGGTCGACGCGCGGACTTTCGGCGCTTCGCTCAGCGAGCGCGACGCGATCACGTGCCTGAGGCACGCGGACGGCGTCAACGGCTCGCTCAGCAAGCGGCCGCCGCTCGCGATGCCGCGCTACTGCGGCTCCCTGGACGCCTGCGACGCCCTGCGGGGCGCCTTCGACGCCTGCTTCGGCGCCGGGTCCTTCGACGGCGCCGAGAAGCAGTGGGCCGACGCGCCGCTCGGCGCGCGCTTGGCGCTCGCGCTCGCGCGCGACGAGGCGCGGCGCGCGGTCGCGTCCTCCGTCGCGGCGGACGTGCTCGGCGCGCTCCGGGGCGAGGCGGCGCTCTGCGGGGCCGCCTTCTTCGCCTTTCTCGCCGACGGCGAGCGGGGCGACGACTTCCGCGAGCTCCGCTACGACCGCGACGCCAAGAGCGTCGACGCCGTCGGCCGCTTCCGCTTCCGCTTCCGGCCGGGCACGCCGGCGCTCGACGTGCTGAGCCACCACGAGACGGGCGCGCGGTCGCGGCGCGACGTCGCCGACGCGCTCCGCGACTCCGGCGCGCGCGTCGCCTGGCTCGACGTCCGAAGCGCCTCGGGCGCCGCGCGGCCCGCGGCGCTCGTCACGGTGCCCCGCGGCGCGCCCCTGCCCGCGCGCGACGTCATCGCGACCCTGGCCGCGGCGGACGGGCGCGACGACTACGACGTCGTGTCCGCGGCCGTCGACGACTTCGAAACCGCGCGGGCCCTCGAGCCCGACGCCGCGGACCGCGTCCGCGCGAAGCTCCTCGTCGCGGACGTGTCGACGCTCCGCCGCCTCGCGCGCGACGTCGCAAGGCGCAAGGGCGACGAGCGGGTCGCCCGGGCGCTCGCGCTCTTCGCGGCGCCGGCGGCGGCCGCCGCGGGGAAGGGGTGAGTAACGGCTCGCGCTGGATCGCCTGTGCGCAATGGGTATCGGTGGCACGTTAGTGACAGCCTCGTCCTGAATTCACGTATATGTGCAATCAAACCATGTCTCTCGAGAGCGTCTTCTGCGGCGTTCCTGCCTTCAACGTCGCGAGATCAAAAGCTCCTTGCACTAAAAAAACCAGTAAAAGAGCGAGAGGCTACCGGCCGAGAACCACCGCCGCTACCAGGCGTCACGACGCTAACGCCGTCCATCCTTCTGTCTGCTCATGTCCTACTACTCCGGTGAACCCGGGCACGCCTGCCTAGGTTGCTTCGTCGCGTCGGAATTGATCGGCCCACGCTACGGATTCGATTACACCTTGGACCTCTGCGGTCTCTGTCGCGACCTATCGGCCGACGACCCCGAGAGCGAGGAAGAGTCGGAGGCCGCGTCGGAGGGGCCCTGCTGCTACCTCTGCGGCGACGGCACGAAACACCTGGAGCTTCTCGAGGGGTCGTGGGATTACGCCGCGGACGCGCCGCGATTTCAGCACGTGTGCCTCGACTGCGAGGGCGAGCACCGCCGGCTTCGACGGGACTCCCACAGCGAAGCCCTGCCCTCGCCCCGCTTCCTGCGGATGGACCACATCGTCGACGAGCCGCGCGACAGCCTGTCGTCGACGCGGCTCTCCTTCGACGACGAAGGCGAGTTCCCCCCGCGGTACTCCATGGGCCGCCCGCGGGCCGTGACGCTCGAGCTGTCGCCCTCCGCCGCCGCGCCGTCGCCCGCGCCGCCGAAGAAACGGCGGCGAAAGTCCCAGATCATGGCGTCCCGCCGCGCGGCCGTCGTCGCCTAGGAGAGGCGCGCGTGCCTCGCGCCGACGCCCATGCCTATCTAACCTCGTTCGCCTCCTACGGAGTAGATTCTGCCCGAGGTAGGCGTCGGCGCGGTGGGCCGCCTCATCGCTAGAGAGAGACGTTCGATACGAAACTTACGACGAAACGAAACTGCAACCTACGACGAAACGGCGCGCCTGCG